ATCTTCAACTTCCTTGGCTGTACTGGCTCAGACCAGAACTACCCCTCGTTTAGTCTGGAGGTCTCTAGTGGTGAGATGGACCTGGAGCTGTGTACCACGGCCTGTGAGGACCATGTCTATGCAGGAGTGCATACCACGTAAGTATGACCTTCCTCCTCAAGAAGCGAATCACTGATCATACCCAGCGACTGTTATTGTGCTGATAACTTCGATAATGTCACCACTGTCGCTAAAGATCTTTGTGATACCCCTTGCCCTGGAAATCCCGCTGAGAACTGCGGTGGTTTCCGCGATGTTTCACGTCTAGCTCGTCGCCAGGCGGTGGTTCCTGATAACGCTCTGTTAGCAGTCTATGTCAACCCTGCACTCCTCGCAGCTATTACAACGGTCACTCCCACTACTTCAACCACGGTCTCAAGCACGACAACTGTGACTGCTACAAATGATCCAGCGCTCATCAGTGTCACGACAGCTCTCACAACAGTCGTGACCACCCAGACCGCTATCGCAGCGGCACCTGGTAGCACAACTACAACAACTGTCTGCGTTGGCGGCTACTGTAATACTGGCGGCTATATCTTCGAAATCTGCACCGGCGTTCCCGGAGTCGGCGAGATAGTCTTCGTGGCACAGCCCTGTAGCTGCCACGGAGGCTTCAGCTATACCCCTGCCAATTGTACCGGGGAGGCTTGTCTCGGAGAGACCGTCTATAAGTGCGTGCCTGTTACTGGTTCCACCAACAGTAGTGTCGTTGTCTATGAGCCTGAGGCATGCGAACACTGTGCTGGCGGCGTCAATTTCCAACCGGTGCCACCCACCGGCGGGGAGTCGACCATCGTAGCCAGCACGACGCTCGTCACCACGGCCAGTGATTCCATGAGCCCGGCGACGGCTACATCGACTCTCGTTGTGGTGGCTGGCGCGAGCAAGGCCGCTGCATACCTCAGCTCCATGCTGCTTGTCATTGGTGCATTGGCTTTACTGCTGTAATCTAAAATCTGCGTAGCAAAGAAGTTTACGTTAAGGTGTTTCTGTGGGTGTTTTTGAGCGATGGCCCGGTGTTATTAGTTAGGAGAATCGGATACTACTAGGTATGCTTGGGCGCCGGTCCGGTGTTATTGGCAAGGAAAAACTGGTACTTATAGGTATCTTTGGTACTGGACTGGGTTGCACTTTTACTTTCATTCATCTTACATATCTCATGCCGCATGCCCTTGCCAACGAGGAATTGAGGTCTTGGTTCTCGTAGACTCACCCGCATGCTATCAAGGCAGATAGAAGATATATTATCACTCCATTGAAGTTACTTGCTTGGGTTTGAACGTGCCGTGTTTTCTTTGGATAAATAGAACGTTGATATGTACTGAGCTTGTCACTGTGCCGGACGGGTTACCCATGTGAGACACGGCTCAGAGGCCACAGTGGTTTGCTAAGGCGTTCCGTTGACGGGAAGGGCGCGGGCAACGGTGGTGGCGCTGAGACTGGTACAGTCAATTGCATTGCATGTTTCTGAGACGTGTGCAAAGTTTAGAGAGTAGAAATCATAAGAGTTCATACTACTACTCAGGGGCTCATCATCGGTCAAGCAAAACCCCCCCCCAGCAACAACTGACAACCCAACCCTTTCATTTTTCTCCCATCCTATCAAGGTGCTAATTAACAGCCTACCAAGGCAGCCTCTCAGCCCTGTGTTCTTACTATGCTCCCGGATGTAGTAAATTCATATGTAAGCCACTTTTGTCCTATACATTGTCCGAAGCCCCTATATGCACCGCTTGCAATGGTCCCAAATCCAAACGCCTTCCATCCGATGTAAGACTGCAAGCAGTTAGAAATCTTCATCAATACAACTAGCGTAGCAATGAAATTGCTGATGGGCAATTGTGGATCGCTGTCTCATGAACTTTGATACCAAGGTGAAGTCCAATTTTGTGGGAACCCCATATCAAGGTTGGCCTCTAAGGCTGCATCTACTGCCCCAAGGTTGAAACCTCGATCGAAGTAACCAAAAAGGTCAATCTCATCCATGTTGCCAAGGAGAGCAGGATCAAGGGGAATCTGCCCGTTTTCTCCTGGTGCCGACCCGTCAAAAATGCCACCACCTGAGACGAGGTTTACATTTGCGACTTGATCCGACTCCTCCACATTTTGAGCTCTGGTTTGCCCTGCAAGGGGCAACGTTCTGTTGGAAACGGTGTCGACGGGCGTTGTTAGAGAGTTGGCTGTCTTTTCCATTTCCCTTAAGATACTCTCACCAAGGCCTGCATTCACACGGGCAGTCGTATACACCTCGCCAAGTCTTTTGAGCAAGGAAACAATGTCCCTAAACACAGTGCGGGCACGAACGCGATACATTGGCACTTTGCTGTGACGCATCTTGCGGTACGCCACGCTCAGCGAAACCGACACCGCGTACGGTATGAATGGAAGAGAGCAAATCTCTTCTGATTGTACGACCATGAAGATTCTATCAGCTGATAGAGATCTCCTTGCATTGATAGCAGGGTGTGGGAGATGAGCCTGCTCGGAGGCTGATGGGCTGAAGGCGCTTGATGGTTGGCGGCAGGATAGAACAGATACAGCATGATAGAATGTCTCTATGGTTGCTATGAATTCATTTAGCATGACCCACACAATAAAGGCATAAGATTGCACTACTAAACGGTCAAGATGAAGGATCAATGCAGTAGACTGACCTAATATACGCGGCGATGACTTCTCTGCCCCAGCATCTAAGGCCATTCCTTCGAAGACAGGGAGATCAATTGACTCTGCTTTGCGACTCTTCTTCGGCCGATATAAGTCAATAACCTTGTCGAGCAATTGTACTACGCGAAGAAATAGGCGGAAACAAGGCGGTTGTTTGTCAATACACTCGTCAAGATCTCGGTCGATATCTCGTTCGTGAAGGAGGCATGGTCGGCCAAAGAAGGCAGCCATCATCCGGTCCATAGCCCACAGAGCACAAAACAGTTGTTCTATGTTCTCGTCTTGTCGTTCTGGTCGGTAACCAAGTAGTTGGATGCCAAGGCTCTGAGTGTAATGAACGGCCTGGCTGAATAGAAGGCATGGCATATCGCGCTCGCTGGTAGAAGAGGGCTGATAAAAAAAAGACATCATTGTAAGTATGCGAATGTGGTCCACTCTACTAATGAGCATGTTTGCGTCCAGGATGGCGAATATTGCATGTGCTAGCCGTTGATGAAACTCTTGGAAGGATAGGAGCGAACCGTCGCGTTCGAGACGTAAGTAATTCGAAGCATCTGGATCGGTCGCAGCTGCTAATGCGATAACTTGGTTGATAACACATCTCGAGATTTTGGAAGGATGATCTCCAGCAACGTCTGCGGAATTGAACACCGGCAGCACTGGATATATTCTCTCCAAGAAAAGAGACCTCAATTGTTCGAAATCTTCGTCGGGTGGCAGTAGGTTTAGACAGTCTTGAAATATGAAGGTATGCCGTGTTCTATCCAAGAAGGAGCTCTCTTCCGAGCGGTATGACTGACGACCCATAATGGAAGGCTGCAACCAAGCTGCTGGATCTACACTCATTGGCCCTCTCGTATCGGGAATCCGCCTGGTCGCCCAATCACGTTCGATGATAGGTGCTTGAGGATCGTCTGAGTGGGTAGAGGGCATAAACCAGGTTCCGATATCACTTCGATCGCGATAAAGGTCAGTGCCAAGCGGGTAGTTGCTCGCCTCGATGAAGACACCCTCTGGATTTAAATCTCCCACGAAACGAGAAGTTGACAACTCGACTAATCGAGTTGCAGCTTCGGCTGATGCTTCCTCTTGGTTTGATACATCGTGCCCTTCCGACTGGGGGGAGAGCGGTAAGTTAAGAGGAGACAGCGACGGATGGGAAACTCTAGGCTGGCGGCCTCCCTGCGAACTTAGATGTGGATTGTTTTGCGTGCGAGTGTTATCGGTGGTATGCGTGCATCGCTTCTATAAGAGTGTTTAGAACTAATGAACTGAGTTAATAATGGCAGATATTGAAAGTAACAAACCTTGCGCCGCCGGCAAGAAGGGCAGGCTTGCTGAACCTGCTTTCGTTTCACTGGCAGTCCGTCGGCATCGGACGCCACAAATTTGACTGGTACCGCAGCCGTTATGTTTGCCATTACAAGATAGACCAACTCCTACTAGGCGATAACTGTTGGTGATCTGCTGTGGGCAGCACCGTCTCAGCGGAGGTTCCTCTTGCCCGGATCGTGCTTTTCGGAGTGCACTGACTGAGCGACGGTCATGAAGTCCTGGACATCCGTGGCTCTGACGACCTTGATATTTGTCTTTGAAACTGGGGCATCTTAAGATACCATGATTTTACTTGTGTTATCTGCCTCGCGCCGAGACATGGTGGACCTGGCTAGATCGAAGTTATTCTCATCAGGGGCTTTGTCATCCTTGAAGTTATAATGGAATCTTGTGATAGGCTCAAGTGCGTCAGCGACTTGGGTGACTTTTTTGCGCACTTCCTATCTTGGTTACTCCGCTTCGAGAAGTAAATTGTTAGAGCGAAACTAGTTCGACGTGCGGCATTCTGGCCAGCTTGCCCTGACTGTGAGATATCTGAAAGTACACTCCTAACACGGCATTGCCTACCGAGGCAACATCCCCGCAAATGCACTAGTCTATATCGGGCTCCTCCGCTCCTGACCACCATCTTTGTCCAGTAACTGGAAAGTCCCAAGACAACTGCTAATTACCAAGATCATGGAGAACTTACGCAAAGGAAGGCTCCCACAGCCCCAAAAGGGCAATGCCGACCTATTTGACCGCATTGAAGAGCCTTTGAAAGAGGCATTGGCGCCGCCGATTTGCTCAACCCTATGGGATATATAACCGCAACGGGCGGACATGTACCTGAAATCGAAATTGGACTTTTGATGCCCTCCCCAGCCAGAGGATCAGGAAGCTCGTAAGTCTTTCCGCTAGCGAGAGCTTAACACCCCGCTGGGTCAGCACCCTGTTCGCACCTATAGATCGCCGCAATGCTGAATAACACCATCAAGCGGGCCATAGGGCCGACAGCATCCCATGTTCGCACCCTCGGGATGGCCGCCATGAGCAGCGCAGGCGCAGCGCCATTGGCTAAGAAGGAGGGAGATATTTCTGATTCATTCGGTTCCCTGTCAGGCACAGAAGCCAAGCCGCTACCAGATAGCTTTCGCGAGTTAAAGCTATCACTTGTGGCAGGCCGGGAAGAACAGATCAAGGCTAGCTGGAACCGCCTACTGCAGCGGCTGAAAATCGAGAATGATATCGTGGCACAGGGTGGATCCAACGTCATCCCAGAGGTCCAGTATGATGAATTACTCGGCAACATTGACCGACTCAAGGATGAAATTCACAAGCGTGGTGTTGTGGTCATCCGGGGAGTCATCGGCGAGGCAGAAGCCCGTGCATACAAGTCTGAGATCGAGGAATATGTCCGTAAAAATCCCAGCACAAGAGGTCGGCGATAACGCTCTCCCTAGCCCTACGGGGCAGAGCTCTGCAGGGCGCTAATGAGAAGACCAGGCTTCCCCCCTAACGACCGTCAAGTGTTCGAACTGTACTGGTCAGCTCCGCAGATCAAGGCCAGGGCGCACCCTAATTTCATGAAAGTCCAGAAGGCGCTCATGCAGTCACTATGGCACGTATCCTCTCCTGATGCGCTCATATCTTTGTCTCAACCATTGTCATACGCCGATCGTCTTCGTATTCGGCAACCTGGAGACGCCGCTTTCGCCCTAGGTCCTCACCAAGACGGTGGCAGTGTAGAGCGGTGGGAGACCGAAGGGTACGGTAAGGGTGGGGTGTACGATCCAGTCTTCCGAGGAGAGTGGGAGAAATACGATCCTTGGGATGCCAGTGGCCGTGTAGATGCAGAGACGAACCTGTATAATGGCCTTGGCGCCTGCAGTATGTTTAGAATGTTTCAGGGGTGGGTGAGTATGAGCCATAGCGGTCCAAATGAAGGCACGCTCTTGGTCAACCCATTGCTACAGCTGTCGACGGCATATTCACTGCTGCGGCCCTTCTTCAAGCCATTGAAGCCTGTCGATCTCGATGTGGCAAGAGCTGGGTCTTCCGATCGCGATGAATTCTTATCACCTAGCAATTGGGTATTCACTGCTGGACATGAGATGACGAGCGACCTTCAAGGAGCTATACCAGGCCATGGAATGGAGTTTCCTGCTTTGTCTATGCACCCGCACTTAGAACTAGACAGGACAATGGTGCATGTTCCGAAAGTGAAACCCGGCGATTTCGTCGTTTGGCATTGCGACAGTAAGTATTTTCCTCCTCAGCCGACTTCCTAGTGGAAAATCTGCTCTACAGTGCTAATACACTCTAGCTATACACGCAGTAGACAAGGCACACAGGGGCCAAGGAGACTCGAGCGTACTCTACATCCCAGTGTGCCCAACAACTGAACTAAATGCACAATATCTAGTCAGACAGCGCGCTGCTTTTCTGGATGGCACGCCCGGCCCAGACTTTCCAGGAGGTAAAGGAGAGTCAGAACACGTTGACAGGCCCACAGAAAGCTTTTTGAGAGCTCACTCTGATCTTGTGGGTTTGCAGTCAGCGGGATTTGAGAAACTACAAGAAAGTGCTGGCGATAGTGCTGGCGCGAGGGCTGTGATTCAGAAGGCAAATGCTATTTTAGGGTTTTGATCGGCGTTAACGTAGGCACAGCGAAATTGGCTTAGCTTTGAAATCGGCGATTACTTGATTGCCTCTACGGTGCTAATAGTGATGCCTCTTCAGCTCGACAAACTTGCCGAGAAATAAGGGGTAGCAACACGTATGAGTTGTCGGAGTGACTTGTACTGATGTTGGCCTGCCTAGTCGTAGAGGGTGTGTATAGCGGTCACCTATTAGTTGCATCGTTGATCGCATGGTGTTGCTCTGTCAGGCGAAAGTCTATCCCATTGCAAATTCTCCGAGCAGATTATCAATGATATTGTCATCGGCCTTTGTAGACTCGTGTGCATACAACGCTGAGGCCAAAAAGCTCTGTGCTGGTCCACGGGTAGGACGCCATACGAGCATCTGTACTAGGTAAGAACATGGCTAAGGGGGAAAAGGTCGTTCAGACTACACCCTAGCCCTTTCGGCCAAGTCACCTGGTTCTCTTATTCTTGTAAAGCAGTCCACACTTTGTAAGCTAGACAATTTTCTTCCTAGGATTATTACCCCTAACTATTATCTCTCTAGAATATACCTCATCCCATGACCGTTAACGTGTGCACAAAACGAAGCTTACCTCCTTCGACCCGAAACTCATGACTGTCCGGGAGGTCTTCGAAGCTCAAGAACACATCTACTGCCCCGAGCTCCTCGTCGATAACATACCGCCGTTTCGTGAGGTTGATGTTGTTCGGTACCCCTACGTTACAACTATCGGTCGCAGCACCCTTTCCAGTATAGCTTCCACCTTCAAGACGCGCACACGGCGTACCCCACGGCACCTTCACACTCTTGTCTTTGAAATAATCAAGATAGGCGTCGGCAGCAGCTTGAATGACCTGGCGACTGTCGCGCTTCGAAGCATCGATAGGGCCCCAGTCTTCGCGCGAGGCCCAGTACAATGTCCCCGTGGCGTTGAATAGCCAGTCGCCCTTGTCTGTCACAAGCGTGTCAACAGCAGTAATTGATCCATTGGGTGCGTGAATCTGGGTTCCAATAACATATGGGTGCGATCCAGTCGCGACAATGAGCTCCGTATACGATGCACACGCTGTCGTGTCGAATGTGCTGCGGTTGTGGTCGATCTTCAACGGTGTTGCTAGGATACCGGCCGAGATAGACGCAGTCTTATAATTCTCGGTGTATGCTACCGTGGAAGACAGGCTGCTGATCGAAGAAGACTTGCCGGCCGTCTGAGCGGCGATATAACTATCTGCGAGGGTCTTCAATGATGCTCGATCGCATTGTGCGGACACGTTGACAGCGACAGCGAGTACACCGAGCACCGAAGAGAATATATCCGCAGATCGCATCTTCCTGAGTCTTCTTGAGAGCTTCGAAGGCACAATTGTACAACTTTCCTCGCTACATGGCATTGTTTACGGCCCATACGTGCGGCTGCTCATCTTTTAATATTGCACATTCGCATTACCTCTTCCCGTCGGTCATAACTGCATGTATAGCAGCAATGACTTTCATAGTTGTGCGGGGCGTGTTTCGGCACTTAGTCAATTCGTGGGGAACAGGACGTCGGGTATATTGTCATATATTGGCCTCTTTTCAGGAGAGTGGCTAAAATTCCGGGCCGGCTATTAGCACCCTCAACGGAGGCCGACACACCGATGACATCTTGCTCGGCGGCACTTCTGCAAATCGCGATATGTAACGAACCTTGAGCCGGTTGGAGGTTCTCCCAAAAGTGTTAAACACAGGGGCAGCATTTTTTGTCGCTGCCTCTTTATGGTCTTGCCGCATTCAATTGGCTGACAAACTCTTTAGGAGCAAATTTAGCTTTCTCAAACAAAATTATGAGTCTAGCAACTTGAATTTTTGTGTAACTTGAACGTGTTGGATCGTTCTTCTTCGTTATTCAGTAAATAGTCTCTAACTAGGTAGGACAACTTATACTACCGTGAACTGAATATTTCTCAGCCTTGGAAACTCAGCCCTGACCACGATATGTAGGTGCACAATACGATGCTTTTCATATCTTGTAAGCTGGAAAAGCTAGTTGCGAGGGCATGTATACTCAGGACCATTGTCCACTTCTCATATCTTCACCGAATGCATTTGTCATCTCGTTATTCTCGGTGGCTGTCAAATATGCCATGATCCTGGAGAGTTCATTAGGTTGCTGGAACTCTTTATTCGAGCAACTGTTGACTGCTAACTAGGTTTTCTTCGTCAAGAAGACAATTGTCCTTGTTCTATCTCGTTTGATGCTATTGCATTGCTCATTACCCCATAAAACGTCCGTATACATGGCCAGCCACAGCCCCTTTCCTTACTCAGTAGGGTATAGGAACTCGGTCAGGAAATTGGCCTTGCCGAGCGGCACACCCTTCATTCTCAAGATACAGTACGCCGTCTGTATATGGAAGTAGAACTGTGGCATGTTCATATTGAAGACGTAGTCCTTGGTGGACATGTCCGTGAGATTCCCCTTTCCAATCGGGACCTTGATGACATTCGCCTCCAGGCCATTGATCTTGGCCGGGTCGACCGACTTGAGCAGGTCGAGCGTCTTCCGCACGCGGGCGTGCAGCTCGGCCATGGTCTTCTCCTCGTCGGCCCAGGCCTCAATCTCCTCGCCGGTGATGCGCACGACGGCCTTCTTGGCCATGTCCGAGGCGATCTGCACCTGCCTGGTCAGCGGCAGCATGTCGTCGATGATGCGCGCCCCCGGGTACTCTGCGTCGGCGTCGAGGCCCTTCTCCTTAGCATGCTCCTCGGCTTTTGTGAGGATGACTTTCAGCATGAGATGGCCCCTGATGTAGGTGGGCACTGTCACCTCGTAGAGACTGAGACCGGCCATGGTGGATGAGAGACGGGAGTGTGGTGGCTGAACTGAGCGAAGACGACGACAAGATGATAAGGCTAGACGGAGATGTTTTGACTGAGCCTGAAGAACTGCAGAGTGGAGAGCCTTGAACATGTGATAGCCTCTTAGGAGGGATCTGAAGCCCTTTTATATCTCATGCGATCGTTATATATATTCTCCGCCTTTCTCAGTTGGCACACCCGTCCGCCTGAAACAACAGACCGCCTGGCGCCTCCATTGTACCAATGCAACGCAATGCGTCATGTCCCCTGCCCGCTGCCGTGCCCTATGCCTGCCCGCCCGCACGATAGCCTACCCTAGTTGGCCCAGCTACTTTACGGTGTTTACTAATACCGATTGTGCTGCTCCACAAGTGCGCAGCAATCGAGCATCGGCTGACAAATCCAGAAACGGGAATGTCGCCGACGTTTCATCGTTGCCCGGCTGCTTGCAAATCGAATCAAGAGCGGAGGGAGGAAAATAATCAGAGAGCAAAAGGAATGAGGCGAAAGGCGTGAGATAGACAGCAGTGAGATTATATCGTGAAGTGTGTCAAAGGAAGGAGAGGGTGGTATAAGTAGAAGGATTGGACATTGCTGTGTAAGAGCCTCAGGAACCACCGCGGAAGTGAGTGTGTGGAGATCGGACTGCCGCTTTGGGAGGCGACAGGCCGCTGACATTGGTGAGTTTGCAGGTTGCGCTATCAAAGTCGCGATGATGCCATCGTCCTGGGCAGCGCTCATTCCCCAGACTTTGCCTTCATCTTGCAGTAAGCGCGCGGTTTCCCCACGATTAAGTCCCTGAAAGCGGCGGCTCGGAACGAGATATCTTCAGTGCCTCAGGAAGCACCCAGAATTGGCGATGCTACAGCTAGACTAAGATCGGCTAGGGATTAGGTGCTTCATCCCACGGTCGATGCCATGAGGTTAGATGATTCACCAAGTAAATACATTTCTAGTTAGACAGGTAGATGCAAACGAAGAATTTGCGTATCCTCAATACGAAATATGAATGCAATGACTTGTTTTCAGGCCTCTCCGACAGAGTCTGCCCACTACCCCGCTCAAAGAGGCAACTCCGCCATCTTGTGTATAGCTTCACGATTCATCATGTCCGCTCTGTAAATCGGCCGTATAAGTCATTTTGCGTATTCACTGGGAAACTATATAAACATACAGCAAAGACACAAAGCCAACCGTGAAGAAAAAGAGACATCATCTTCATCGTAGCTTGTCTGACTCCCCCTCCTGCTCCTATTCCTATTCCTTCTTCTCCTCCTCGTTTAACCAAGAGCATCATCTCACAATGGCCGCATCACCCGGCCCAAGGGCCATCAAGGTCAGCCTCTCCACCATCGCCAAAACCATCGACCACTCTCTCTTGCACCCCACCATGACAGACGCCGAGATCGAAGCCGGCCTGCAGACCGCCCGCAGCTACAACGTCGCCGCCGCGTGCATCAAGCCGTACAGCATCGCGCAGGCGCGGCGCGTCCTCGCCGGCTCGGACGTCCGCGTCTGCGCCGTCGTCGGCTTCCCGCACGGCAGCTCCACGCGGGCGGCCAAGGTCGCCGAGGCGCAAGAGGCGGTGCGCGCCGGCGCGGCCGAGGTCGATGTCGTGGTCAATGTGGGCAAGGTGCTGGGCGGGCAGTGGGGCTATGTCGAGGAGGAGATCGCGGCTGTGAATGAGGTTGTTACGAGCACGGCTGTTGGGGATGGGGCGGCGGATGGAGAAGGAGAGAAGAAGAAGACAGCTATCCTGAAAGTGATCTTCGAAAACGACTACCTGCAGGAGGAGCACATCGCGCGACTATGTGAGATCTGCACGCGAGTGAAGGTGGCATTCGTCAAGACGAGCACGGGGTACGCGATGGTCAAGCAGAGCAACGGCATGTACAGTTACAAGGGGCCGACGGTCCCGCACCTGAAGCTGATGAGGGAGAAGTCTGGCCCGGAGGTGCAGATCAAGGCAGCTGGGGGGGTGAGGACCCTGGATGACTTCTTGTTTGTGATGAGTCTGGGCGTCACGAGGGTGGGTGCTACTGCGACGGCGGCGATTTTGGAGGATGCGAAGGAAAGAGGGATTGGGGAGACGCAGGTTGAGGTGGCTTTGAAAGAGATAGGAAGCGTCGGTGGTGGATACTGAGATGGTAAAGGGATAGGGAGAATCAGAGGGGTCATCTGGGCCTTGGAATAATCAAAAATCATGATATTAGGCGATCAAAAGCCATAATAACCTGTATTTCAAGATCTCTGCTTGAAGTACAATAGCCGACCCTCGACCTGTGCCTGTTCTCGACTGTATTCCACCTTGTCAACGACTTGCCCACTGCGTCCTTTGAGAACGATTGAGCCGCCCTTATTGCTTAGTGGGACATTCTGCGGCATGGTGATATTCTCCTTGTCTTGGTGACGGATGGCCGTTCCTTGAGGAAGCTTGAAGCTCTGGCCAGCCCCATTGGCAATTGTCCAACCAGCTATCGAAACCGCCTCCGTGCTCGTGTTCATCAAGAAAACATGTTCCTTCTCTCCGGAAGTCGGGTTTCCATCCGGTCCGATTGGGTTCACCAGTGCAGCCTGGATAGACACGAACCCAGATACCTCGTCATCCTCCCCTCCACCTGCACCCCCGGGGGTGACAGGAGGCGGCTGCTCCAAGACCTGCGCGAATGTCGGCCCGGCCGGCTGGCCATCGTCATCGGTCTGGCTAGCCTGGCTGGCAAAGCCGAGGAAGATGGCCTCCCAGTGGCCATCGTCAGGGAAGCGCAAGATGATGCCGCCGTCCTGCCAGATGCCGTTCTGCTGGGAGAAGCGGCGTAGGCGGCCAGAGGCGTCGGTAAAGTCGGCGCTGCCCTGGTTCATATGAATGTCGTGAATGCCGTCCTTCTTGGGCCAGTAGAGCTGGCCGAAGAGGAAGATGTCAGCGGAGGCCTGCTTAGCCTGGGTCAGGATGGGATCGAGGTAGTCGAGGATATCCTTCTTGCCGCCGAGGCCGTCGTGGCCGAGAATGATGCCATCCTGAATGCGGACGAGATTGTCGCGGAGGAAGTCGAGGGCGAGGCCGTCTGGGCCCTGATCTAGAGGGCCATCCAGCGAGCGGAATTCGCGGGACAGATCGGCGAGGCGGGCGGTGATGGGGTGCTGGAAGTTTGTGTTGAACCAGTAGACGAGGCGGGAGTCCGGAGACAGCGAGGAGACGTTGACGGCGCAGTCGAACTCGCGGCCGCTGTCGTCTGTGAAGGAGATGTGGCCGTGGTCGTCATCCTTCTGGTCGGGAAACCACTGGGTGATGGTGCCTCGCCAGACGCCGTAGTGTTCGATAGGCATGTTGAAATGTAGGACAAGGGCTTATCCGGATGATGTATATATATGATATTGAAAGTAAAGATGTCGGGAGAGAGCAGGCTCTTCAAGGCTCTGCCATTTCCCGGGGGATTATATATATCATCACCACCACCGCCATTTCCCCCGCTCACTTGTGGGACACGTATGAAGTCATCGTGACTCCCAACTTGTTCTTTCTTCTCTCTCCACAGCCATCAGCCGCAGGCATATCGGTGTAACATGTCGGGTTTCAAGAGTCCAATCAAAGCGACTCGGATGGGGCACACGTGTGCATGGCCAGGTCAGCTTCAGCTTGAGGCGGCAAGATAGCGATGTGGCTGCTGACCGACAGCTGCCGATGCTTCTGGAGCAAGCCTCCTCAGCCCTACGGCGACTTGCCAAGAACCGATCATCTGCAGCTCTCTTTTCGGTGAAGATGTTCCACGTTCAAGATTCCGTGCCACTCGGGAACGAGCCGAGTAGGAGAAAGAGGAGGAGGCGGAGGGAGCTTGCGTGGACATCATCTTAAAGAGGATGGCCCCTGTTCCTGGTTCCCTCTGCCTCTCCCTCTCCCTCTCCATCTCAACACGAGATGTTCAATAGGCTGGCTCATTTGCAGGTCCGGAAATGTAGAGTGCTGACTGCCCTGCAGCTGCAGCTGCACCTGCCCCATTCTCACTGAAGCCATCGCGATACCGCGATCTCCCAGTGCCCATCTCAGCGACCCTCGAGGAGACTCCGTGATTCCCTCCTGAAAGTCTACACTAGAAAGACGGTGGAGACGACCTGGAATGGGCGGAAATGAGCAAAGAGGGCTGTGTACTGCGGCACCGGCACGGGCCAGTCCAGTGGGCCAGCCTCGCCAGGATACCTAAGCGTGCTAAGCTACCTGAGGCTACCTATCGATAACCAGCGATAGCGGGCGACAGGGCTCCAGTCTGCCGGTTGGTTTGCGGGGTGCATAGCCACAATGCATTCAATTACCTCAGGTAACTTCTACTGCGTAGATATGTGTCTCGATAGCAGGGCCAGGCCTGGTTTCAGGTTTCCCAGACAAGTGGCCCAACGCCCAATCAAGGCCTGGAAATCGCGCGCATAATTCTTGATGCCCACGTGTGTGTCTTGACGAGTCTTCGGACGCGACATTCAATCCGGCCCGAGAATGTAGTGTACAAGAGTAGATGTCGTAGGTCGGTAAATTCAGGGGTTTCGAGCCACTATAATAAAGACAAGATGTGCATAATTGCAGGGGGTTTGTTGCGGTTAGTAGGAACTTGGCAGGTACAGCACCCCTAATAACTCACCTACCAATGGCATGCTGCGTAACGTCACGTCACCGCGCTTCGCTTGCATCGCTCCTCCCTTTTTCATACACACGCATATGCATACACACAACCAAACTTCCAAGTTTGCCAACTCTCGCTACTAAGCACCAAACCACCAAACCACCAAACACACACAAACATCACCACGTTCACTTCTCCTGCTTATCGCGTCTTATGCTTTCTTGGCGACATAATCACAGAGCATCACCAACTCAAATAGTCATCTTCAGCTTTTTCTTTTCCGTCGCAAGTCAAGCAATTGGCCGCTGATCCTCCTGCCCCTCCCCCCGCGTCAAGCCGATCAAATTCAGGGGTTCAACTCCCAGCAACAGACAGGGAGACAGGCAGAGACGCAGAAGATAGTCAACATCGCCGCATTGGAACACTCATCGCATCGCATCGCATCGCATTACATCGATTGACGATATCCATACTTACAAGTCGGAACAAAACTGGGCCTTTCTTGGCTTGACGCACCGGAGATCTCCCAATCCACATTTCCATCTCGAACAAGCTCACTTGGCAACGCCTCGGCAGACGCAAGACATACAAACACGGTCACCAACAACATGCCCGTCATAAATACGGATGTCCGGCAGGACGGCGAGGCTTGGGGCATCTCACAGCTCACCCAGACCTTCAGGATACCCAGCATACCCAGTATACCCGTCCGGAGCCTCCTCCTTGCCCGCGACAAGTGCGACAAGGGCGACGCCAGCCTGTGCGAGAAGCCCGTCGCATCCTCCCACATCACCGTCGGCATCGTCGTCGGCTCAGTGTAAGCCTCACTCTTCTTCCCCTCAAACAAAACATCGCTGACCTAGTTGCCTGCGTGCAGAGCCGCCCTCGTCCTTATCACTGGCTCCATCCTGACCTACCTCCACTGCCGTCGCGCCAGGAAAGACCGCGCCGACGACGCTGCCCATGCTCACGAGCTCGCCGACTACGGCATGGACCCCATCTCCTCCGTCAAGAAGCCCCGGAAGGCCCGCAGCCCCGACACCGCCATGCACCCCACCGCACACGGCCTCGCGCCGCCGAATCGAAGGCTCTCGAGCGATTCGCTGTCGTCGCTGGCACGGTCGATACGCGGGCGAGACGACCCCTTTGGATCGAATGCGGAGGTTGTACGGACGGATCCGTCAAATGGCGGGTGGAAGGAGGAAGGCCAGCAGAAGCCTACTGATCCGTTCAAATAACACGAGTAACACGCGCGAATAATCTGCTGCTGTACCCTGTCACTACGCCATGCGACGATTCTCTGGTTAGAACGTGCATGGCTGAGGTGGGAAGAAATACGATCCTCGTAGTGTACGAAGAATTGTCGTGGGAAACGAATAAACGTGTGGTCCCAAGTCAGGTCAGGTTATGTCAGAGGCTTGGCATTCGGGTGTAATACGATTGGGGTACATGGAGCAGCCCCCAAGCCTCACCACCACGCTCGTTCCCCCCTACTAATAATGCAAGGAACATCCTCATCATGCTGCAAAGTAGTAGTCGTCAACGATGCCGGCGCGTGGGTGTCAACTGGCCAATTGTATATCTGTATCGATTGTGTACATAATAAATACACGCCTGCCGTTGCCGAAGAGGCCGGCAGTCATTGGGCTTTATAGGTTGATTTCTCGAGTACTCATTACTGTACTGACGAACTCATACAGAATCAGCACATATGAAGCTTCTCGAGAACATATTATTACATCTAGACTCTACTTCTGGCCATCGCCCATGCTTCTCTGCCTCGGCAGTCTCAGCAGTCACGTCTACATCAAAGCCCTTGAGGGTATTTAGCATCTCCTTGTCTCCTCCGGCAATCCTGTCCTGCAACCTCGTGAGATCCGCTCCGATACCTGTGCAGACGTGTCTCTTGAACTTCCTCGTCGGCAGCCTCGCCTCAAACATCTCGTCGAGCTCCTTCAGGCTCCTCCCCTTCAGCTCCAGCAGGAAGCACTTACTGGAACTGCGCATTGGCCGACGACGCCCATGGTCTTCTTCCTTCCCAGATCCCGGCTGCGGTATCCTTCAGCAATGCAACAGAGAGCCATGTCCGCATCGCAGCATTTCCCTGATCTTCATGTGAAGCCGTTTTATGCGTGCCTGGGCTATGTCAACGGCGCCAACGGGTGGATCGTGAAATTCATAAGCTGAGGCTGCGTAGTGGATCCTGAGTGGGTAAACCTACTCAGCCCCATCGGCCGAAAACGAGTATGCAAACATAACTTCTCTGACTCGTTCAATTGACGACTTTGCGACAAAGGCCAATCGTCTCGAACCGTTGTGTAAGCATCCGGTGAGGTCGCTGCGCGAACAGAAAGGCCACATGCGACGGCGATGATGAATGAGACACTCGCGTCGAGAGACCTTGGCAGCGAGCCAGGACCATTGGTGTGGTGTGCCTGGCCTATCACCATACTGAATACACAATGGTTCCGCCTCGTCGCCTTTGTCGGCATGATTCCCTTCTGCCTCCAGCTCGGTGGAGGGCGTATCATAGCATTCTCTGGTTGCTACGGCTATACTTTCCTGCTGCCAGGCATTTGCATGGCCGTATTTCTCGGCATAGCGACGACCCCAGCACACGATGGCGATGTCTTTGCCCTATCGCTGATTCTACAGCATGCTGTTCATGCTGCGCTGCTCGCCTTGTTGTTCACGTCACATCTGACCCCGACGAAGTATGTGGATTTCCGACCCTTCTACTCCGGGGTTTGCCAGTTCCTCTTCATTATCCGCATGGTTCTGCAGTACTTCTCACTGGAAGGCCCTGCTCTAAACCTTCCTAAATCAGCCCTTGCGTCAACATCATGCGATGCTTCCACAGGCTTGTGTGTGAACCCGTGCAACGACATGAACGTGGCGCCGAGGTATTACCATACTTCCTCAGACATGCTGGTGCCCACCATCTGGTATCCGGATCGCATCGACAAATCTTCGCTCTGGAGCTCTGTCAACGAATGGATCAGCAGTGCGTCTCAGGTTAACAATGGCACATTTGAGGGGCTTAAACGATATGTTTGGTGGGCTTACTCTCTCACGGGACCGGCGTTTACATGTGCGAGGGTGATCGCCAATGCATCCCCAAGAGAAGGCCGAAATTATGTTTTTCGCCGCCTGCAGCAAGATTATCATCCTAGATCGCATGGACTGTCTAAGAGAGAAAAGCTGTCCATATATCTACTCATATGGACACGAAACTTGCTGGTATTTTTGAGCGCTGTATCGATGGAGATGCGAATCTTTCTTCTTCCTGTCAGTCCTGCTACCTGGGTAGGCAAGCGTCTATATAAGGTCTACATGGAAGAGAATCCCGTGTCATGGGACGAATTAGTTGTTATCAAACAAAACCACTCTCCACAGCGGCAAAGACTTGCTCAGCGGCTCGCTCTCCTCTGGTATCTCTGGTCAATCTCATTTTACCTTCTGTTTCCAGCCTGGGTAATCCTCGTTACTGCCAAGTCCGAGCTCCACGCACAGTGGGTTCCACAAGCGGAGAAAGACCCTAACAACGCGGAGTTTATATGGTGGCTGGTAGTCACTGTTGGAATAACGGGCTTGATGCTATTGTACGCATTCCTGGAGGGGAAGCATTATAAGGACAGAAAGAAGATATATATCAAAGATCCATCACTGGAAGAAGATAGGCCTGAAAAGATTGCGCTCCTAGAGAGGACTCTCGAGGATAACGATCTGAGCTGGCCGAAATACATCGTGGCGCGTCTATACCTGGAGTGGTGCGACTTCAAGTACTGGCAGTCTGACCCATCACGAGCATCAGTGGAGAGAAAGTCGAAGAAAGCCGACGACCCATAACGCTCACCCGAGCACGCTGCTCTAGACAAAGAGAAGGAGCCAAATTGTCACAAGTTTGGCACGCCGGGCAGCGCCCCTCGCATCTCTGAGCTCGAAGCAAAGGAGGTCGACGCTTCCGCACGGGTTGCTGGAAAAGCGCTGAATTTCTCAAACACGATTAGAACATAGACACTACCCAGAGGCAAGCAGAGATGTTGTAGAGTGAGACGGGAGGGTGAGGGATGATTCTAGAGTGGTTACAGCGAGCATGAACCGATTGGAATCGAGACCCTGGTGGCCATGGACGAAGAGAAAAAAACATCTCGCATACGAGTATGATTGCTGAAGATTCTCGATTTAAGATTAGCCATTCACGACACACTTCTAGCTTCCTCGGGCGCACCGTCACCGGAACACAATGGCATTGTGACCTTCATGACTGCTTCTTCTTCACGCTCTTCCTCTCCATCGCAAGGCTGCCGACGATGGTCAAAGCAGCAAGCGCAACTGGCAGATAGAGAGTCTGCATGACCGCCTTGTCATAACCTAATAGTACATCTCGTAGTCTGTCAGCTCCGATGTAATCTCTCACATTTGCAAGTCCTCCGTGCTCAAAAGCGGTCGTGTTAGTGCCCGGCGCATATTTCTCGACCTCTTCGGCCAGCCTGTTCTGAAATAATGTAGACGACACGGATATGAAAAATGACGAGCCGAGACCACCTGCGAAGCCCGTTACAGCGAGGCCCGTCGCGATATCCTTCAGAGGAAGCACAGTCTGAACGGCGAGTATTGGCCCTTGCATGCCCAAGCCCACAGCGGCTCCTAACATTCCAAGCAGGCAGAGTACCTTGACAATGCTCTCATCCAGATCCAGCGTGGTGAGGAGACCAGCCGCGACAGGCGCAATGACAGATGTCCCAAGCATGAATGCTGGCGATCATTAGCAAAAAGACTTGCATATGGAGGAAAGGCCGGCTTACGATAGTAATAGCCAATAATGGTTGTAAATGTGCTGGCCAGAAGTTCAGCAACACAGAAGCCGACCATCAAGGGCAGTCCCATGGCACCTGATTTCGAGGCCGAGAAACCCTTCACGCCCTGGAAGTATATTGCCAAGTAATACTCCGTGACTGCGAGAATGCCATTGCAGCAAGCTGAGAACCATGCGCCAGCAAGGACGCTCCGTTGCTTTAGGATTCTAGGAGGCAGAGTTGCTTTCTCTTGCTTCCGGTACTGGATGTAGCTGAAGACAGCAACAAAGACGGCGAAGAGTATGAACAGCACAATGATGATGGGATTGTTCCAACCATACTTGACTCCGCCCCATTGTAGTCCCAAGAGGAGACAAACAATTCCCGGAACGAAGAAGACTGTACCTAGAACATCCAGCTTCTTCAGCTTCTCCAAGAATGTTGCATCTGGATATGGCTCCTCAGCGGGGTCACGGAATCCATATGCAGTCAAAACAAATGTCAAGACTCCCAGCGGCAGATTGATACCGAAGCAGGCCCGCCAGGAGAAAGCATCGATCAAAAGACCGCCGATCAGAGGAGCAAGAACCATAGCGGTGCCATTTAGTGCGGAAGCGAGGCCTGTCCACAGCGGTCGCTTATGGCGGGGAAAGCTGTGTGCGATGATGACGAAGCCGCCTATATTCAAGCCACAGCTTCCCAATCCAGCAATTGCACGGCCGAGAATGAAGACGGCGCTGACAGGAGCAATAGTGCATAACAGAGAGCCGAGCTGGAACACGAATATGGACAACAAGAACAGGCGCTTGATCGAGAATATGGTGGACAGCTGGGCGTAGAGGAAGGTGAAGCTGCTGAGAATGACCATGTAAGCCGCAGAATACCAGCCGATGTCCTGCACCGTCTTGAATTGATTGGTTAGGCTAGGCACAGCAACTGCGACAATTGTCAAGTCCAGGCCGACGAAGACCACTGAAAGAATCACTGAAGTCATGGATAGCCAAAGTTTGAGACCTTTCGGATAGATAATGTTCTCGTCGGGGTCTCTGTCGCCTTCGCCTTCGATCTCGAGCTGATCCCGGGCTTGTCCAGGAACCACAGGTGCTTCTGGTGTGGCTGCTTGAAGAGTGCCCTGGCTGATCTCATCGTGCGCCATTTCGTCAGGATGTTCAAGAACAGGTGCTGGAAGAGGACAGAGCAAAGTCAATTGATGGTGTGTATATTCTGGCTTATATCCATCTCCCTTTTGTGAGTAAGCGCTTCTTTTACGTGTACACAAACGTCAGCTGCGCCGTCATCTCACTGCCCAAAAACACGCCAATGTGGTGATTTTCCACGAATGTGATTAAGCTTATCCAGCGCTTGCGCATCAGAAGGATGGCCGCTACGTCGTCTTTAGTTACACTTGACGCTACTACTCCTCCGCCAGGGTGATAAATGTTAGTTTGGCAAGGGTATCACTACCTCCTCAACAAGGGTTTACTACCTTTCTAGAAGTTGATAGACCCATTGTGATAAACAGAATACTCGAGAACTTGATGAGTATCATAACTCTCGACATTGAGTATCTTCACCCTTCAACAATTAACGTTTGTTACCCTGGCGGAGGAGTACACCTTGAATGCGGCTTGGTCCTGCGGGGAGTTTCAGTGATCAAGTTGGGGTACGCATTCGTAAATTACCACAACATGATGTACATGTTACGTACGCCCAATAGACTAGAAGGTCTACCTTCATGAAAGGAATTACTTCAAGATTTAATTAACAACCGAAGGATGAAATACTCGTTTATTTTGCAGAAAATTCGGAAGAACTACCCGAAGATCCGCCATCTTCACGACACCGGCCCAGCTTAGAGTAGCTCGATGCTGAGAGGTACTACCAAGCAACCAATCCGCGATTGGCCAAAATCAGTGCCTCAGTAAACATACACAAACAGTGGGTTCTCTTTGTCGGTGAGGTCCATGAACTCGATGTTCTCTGGAGCCGTATCCAAACTCTCGAGCCTTCTTGCCTCCCGCTTCATATTCAGCCAGACCAGATAGAATCTCGCTAGCAGGTAGCTGACAAGACACAACCCAAGAGACACCACTAGAGATCCGATACCAAGGTCTTATCGACGTTAGCATCTGTATTGAGATCTGGGTACTGATCCAGGAGTGAGTACTTACAATAGCGAGGCGCATCTTGTGATCTGTAGAACTGTGGAGCAGCGATGTTGCCAACAGCATAGCCAATTGTACAAACAGCGTTGGTAGTGATCTTTTTTGTATGCCCAGCCGTGTTCGCTGTGATCAGTGCAAGTAGTAGAAGATATGCAATCGGATAGGAGTAGAGCTATGTTCGGTCAGCAGTTATATCTGCATCACTTCTTATGTTCGTATTTACATACGATATAATAGCCAACAAGCAATCCGGCCTTATTTGTGTATGGAAGACACAGCAAGAGAAGGCTGCCCAGAAGTGCTATGACAACAGAAAATAATATGCTCCAAGTTCGGCCGTTCTGAAATTTGCTGCAAACCCAAGTGACGACTAGGATGATGACCAGCTCCCAAGCTCCAGCGGGCATAGATAGCTGCGTGGTATATTAGTTTGAGTAAATATGAACCTGAAATGGAGCCATACCAGAGTTGTTTGAAGAGTAGTGTTACCAAAGCCTTGGATGATAAGAGTGCCAAACTACATCCGTTAGAGTCCCTCCACAGTATATTACTACACAAAGACATACCGATGCGACAGAGTTTGGTATATTGATAAAGAACGTGATTAGAAAGAACATCCATGTCTTCATATCCGTCAGCGCTTCTATCATTTGCTCCTTTTTGAACGTCCTGCTGTAGACTCCGGTATTATTCGCACGAATCATCTCAATCGAAGCTCGCTTCTCGTTTTCGTCAAGGAACCGGGCTTCAATCTGACTATTTGGAATTGCAAACCACAGAATCACCGCCCAGACCGTAGTAATAGCGCCAGTCACCAAGAACATCCACTTCCATGATGGTATTCCAGACTTAATGTGCCCCAGGCCATATGAGAGAATACCACCAAGGATTTGTGCAGTGCCATTCTGCGCGAACCATATTCCCATTCGGAAGCTCTGATTTTTCCTTGGATACCAGGCATTGGTGATAAGCATAAAGGCCGGGAACGTCAGACCTTCGACCATGCCCAAGAAGAAGCGAACAGTCATCAACCCTCCGAAGTTGCTACATGCAGCATGCATGAAGAGAATAACGCTCCACAAGAAGACGCAGACTGCCAGGCACTTGGCCGCAGGAAACTTTTGAAGGGCCACGGCAGACAAGGGTTGGGAGACGAGATACCCAAAATAGAAGACACTCGACAGCCAGGAATAATCCGTACCATGCAGATTCGTGTCTTGTCTAATTCCGAAAATCGCAGCGTAGCTTAACGTCGTCTTGTCAAGAAATTGCAGCATTTCCGTAATTGCCATAATTGGAAGTAGAAGCCGGTCGATTTTGAATAGCACCCGTCGCTTCAGGGCTTTGTCAAGAACAAAGTCCTCGCTGGCTGGGCCGGTCGCCTCCACGAACTTGAGAGCCACATCAGCATCGCCGGAATGTAAGATCTCCGTCGTCGCTACGACGTCGGGAGTCGAGTCGTTGGAGCTCTCTTGCGCTGTCTTTTCAGCCATGTTGAGATCAAGCGGTGTACTAATATGTGTGAAGGCGTGAAGGTCATATGCTGCAAACACACCCAATTATCGTGATGCATCCGGGTTTCCCATGCGCCTTGCAAGGCGTATATATAGAACTTTGCCGACTCCCTCAGCACGATAGTTGAATCAGGTCGGACGATATCAGCGTTCTCGCGATATCTTCAAATCGCGCTATTATAGATAATACAATCTCGATAATTGGCCGAATAGCACCATCCATGATTAGATGTTGATACCGGCACACGGTATTCGGGAGACAGGACGGTTATACCGCAAAATCGGGGCGTCGATCGCCTTATCACGAAGACTTAGCGCCTCCGCTAGGGGACTTTCGGCCTCAGCCGGCTCGGTGTTCGGTTGCTGTGAAGGCGGTACACAACGGCCCGAGTGAAGGACATGAGGCCGGACTTGTAAATCCTTAGTATTAAGAGAAGAGGAATTTCGATCAATAACTCTAATTAGATGCAGTCGTCGACTTCTGAAGATGTCGTCCACGGTAGCGATTGAGATCACGACGGCACAACCCGAGGCACAACCTATCAGCCTCAAGACTGGCCTTAAAAAGCTGTTAAATTTCGACAAGGATGGAAAGCCAACATACCAAGTGCCAAGCTTCTCAGACAAGCTTCAGGAACGAAAATGGGCAAAGGAACAGGTTGCAGGCGCCTTCCGTGTGTTTGCCCGGCTGGGTTACGCAGATGGAGGAGCTGGGCACATTTCTCTCAGGGGTAAGGCAGGACTGCAATGGTGTAGGCGCTGCATGAGCACTGACAACTGGTGTAGATCCTGTGAACCCTCATCATTTCTGGATCAGTGAGTTCATCTTTCACGAAATGTATAGGACCATGGACCTGACTAAGAATGGCTTATCCAAGATCCATACGCAAGGCATTTTGCTCTCATGACTGTTTCAGACTTGGTATTGGTCAATGAACAGGGTGAAGCTGTTGAGCCAACAACAAAGCTGATCAACACCGCCGGCTTCATGATTCACTCCGCCCTGCATATGGCACGGCCCGATGTGCACGTCGCTATTCATCTTCATTCCCCGTACGGACGGGCATGGTCGATATTTGGTCGCCCGATAGAGATTTTGACCCAAGGTAAGTACAACTTGTTAATCTATTCGCTGATGACATGCATCTAACAACAACAGATTCGTGCTATTTCCACGATGATCTCTCAGTGTATGCGAGCTATGGAGGAGCCGCTATTGCGCAAGAGGAAGGACTACACATTGCTGAAGCACTGGGCCCGAAGAACAAGAGCATCATACTGCAAAATCATGGGATTCTAACTTGCGGTGGAAGCGTCGGGGAAGCAGCGGCTTATTATATTGCCCTGGAGCGGGCATGCCACGCGCAACTGCTGGCCGAAGCGGCTGCTGCCAATGGCGTCCCGAAAATTCTCGTTGAACCCCAAGAGGCCGAAAAAACCAAGCAGATGAGCACACCAGGTTTCATGTATATGCAGTTCTTCCCGGAATATGAATTAGCGCTGAAGGAGAGTAGAGGCGACTTCCTAGAGTAAATAATATCTCAATTCAAAAGTACCAGACATCAGTAAATGCGCCAATCGAATAACCCCTGCTGCATTGGCTCTTAGCACTCACCCGGCTTTAGAACGGCTCATGTTAGTCTATACTTCCGGAAGCCACCAAGCTTTAGATGCATGCGTCGGTCGATAAGCAATGGAGCTAAAGTCGTTCAAATATTCGACCCCTCATTGGATTTGTGATGATGGCTCTGGTTCTGTGTTGTGATTACATTGAATTCGATGTCGAACTCGCTCGACTTTGAGTTTAGGCCGAGCCGTCCGCCACGAGCGGCTCGTGCTTGTACGAGATGCCGGTGAGTAGCAGTAGGGAGGCAAGTTTAGGCTTCAGCACTGGTAAATTGACACGATCTAAGGGTGTCCAAGGTGAAATGTCGACCCGGCGATGAGCCGTCATCCTGCCAGCTCTGCCAGCGATCAGGCGTCAAATGCGCATTTCTCCCCACACGAAAAGAGCGGAGCATCGCGAAGAAGCAGGAATTGGCTCTAGACGATGACGGACAAGATTCCAGCAACACCACTGCAAGGACACGGGGATCGAACAGCAGAAGCCTGTGGATGTCACGCCGAAGCCTCTCATTTAGCAAAAGCTCCGAGCAAGAAGAGTTGAGGCGCCTGTATTCATCGGATCTTCTCATGAAAGGTGTCGATGTTTTCTTCCAGCACTTCTACCCTGACATCTTCTTTTCTCTCCATGAGCCCTCTGTCCGTTCCAGTGCTCAATCAGGCACGCTGAAGCCACTGCTCGCTACGACAATCTTGGCGCTTACCGCGAGATTCATTCCCGAGCTGGTTCAAAGGCATGGATCTGGTACAGCTGCAGGAGACTACTTTGCGGATCCGATTCGGCCGATTCTACTCATGGGAGCGGACAAGCCGTCACTTGAGAAGATTCATGGATTCCTCTTCCTGAGCCTTCACGAGTGGGGCTCTGGCCGAGGGGCTACTGCCGTGAGTTGTCCTCCTTGCTCAATAGACTTTCCTTACAACTTGATTATCGTGATATTGACTTACATCAGTTCATCTATATTGGCCTTGCAATCCGTGTAGGGCTTCTGTTAAGGAGCTTCCGCAAGCAGACGCCTCTGGCGCCGCCATTCAACAAGCCCGTCGAAACCCGGGAGGAGTTCGTAGTGGAAGAAACGCGGGTCCGAACATGGTGGTCAATGAACTCTATGGAATGCCTGCTAGCTTCGGGCCAGAACCGCACTGCATTGACAACCTATAGCGAGACCGCGGAGATTGGCATGCCCTGCCGGGAGGAGGCTTTTGTCTGGGGCGACGTGAGTTCCCTGCGACATCTCACCGACTCGGCGGAACCAAGCGAAAAAGAGAGTTTGATCCTGGCTGTGAGGCATTGGAGCACAATCAACTGCTGGGTGTCGTCGGGCGGTGTCAAGAAGGAGTCACATCCGCCGTGGTCGCCCCTTTCGCGCTTTGCCGAGCTACAAGGCGTGCTCAGATCCTGGCGGGAACAGCTGCCGCCGAAGCTTCAGTATGATCAGACATTCTTTGTGATGCATGCCGTCAATAAGCAGACGGGACCGTACGGGTTTCTACACCTAGTGTATTTCTCATCGGTGATCTTCCTGCATCGAGAATACCTTCAATTCTTCCCCGTGCAAGGGCCGACATATCGCGGCAGACTGCCGAAAGGTCTCGATCAGGCGTATGAGGGCATAGATGTCGATGCTTTCTGGACTAGCTCTTTAAAGGATCTCTTCAACGCAGCTGCACGCATCACCGAGATTCTGGTAGAGCTAGAACGGCACGATGCCGTTATGCTCACGCCGTTTCTGGGCTTTGCTGCCTTCAGCGCGGCCACAGTCAATATGTATCTTGCCATCTTCAGTTGGGTCTATCCTGACCTAGCTGCCGGGGCCAGGGAGCGGACCGAGACAGACGTTAGATTCTTGAAGCAAGTCGTTGGCCTTTGGCCGCTGGCACAACAATGGTATCAAACCGTGTTGAGGCTATACGAGTCGTACAAACAGTTTCACATGGACGGTGGCGCCCCGGAGTCACCCTCTGGCAAGACTATTGACGCGTTTCACAGCTTTGACAGGTCGCTGATGGACTACGGCGAGATCAAGCCTGAGCCGGACGACATGGCTGCAATAGTGGCTGCTAAGGACACTGATGGATACAAGCATGGCACTGAGCTCAAGTATCCTCGGTCGAATGAAGATAATGACGACGGCCTACAAGGAATACCGCAATTTGGAGAGGAGGGATATTGGGACACTGTGGCAGATGAGTTCCTTAGTTCGATTATGACATTTGACGCCCCGATCACGATGTCATGAATAGGGGAACTATGGAATCATGCTTTTGCTACCTTGAATATGTACCACAAGGCTCACAAGCCATGAGTCCCCTCAATAGCTAATGCTAGACGAAACAAGCAAACTTCCTCACAAGCAAGCGTGCGGCTCATCAACTCCCAGCCTTCCGAACAGTCGCGGGCACCATGTTATAACGGCCCACCAACCCTAAAATTTCACCTCAATCCTTAGTGACATACAGGTAAACAACAGGCTTTCCACCCCTCAGACCAGTACGGGTCGCGTCCCAGCCAAGATCCTTGATGGGCGTCGTCAGCCGATCCTTCTGGTCGCCGCTAATGACCATACCTCGATACCAGCGGCCGTTGCCTCCCTGGTGGCATTCGAAGATGACGTTCTTCTTCGAGGAAGGATTGTTGGCGCCAAACCCCTTCAGCAGCTCCGCGATGGTAGTATTGGTGGGCACATGCAGGGCGTGAAAGGGGATGGTAAAGTTCGGAGGCAGCTGCCACGGCGGCGTGGCTCCAGTGCGGAAGACATGGATCTTCGTATGCTCCGCGGGAAAGAAGTAGTTGTAGCCTGGCTCACAGCCGACACCACCCGTGCTATTGCTCAGGTTTGCTGCCGGCACTCTTGGGTCAATGACCGGGTTGGGCTGAGGGTAGCGACCTCCGGCCGCAAAGGACGTGGTGGTGATCTGGCCAGGAGGCCAGTACTGCTGACCCACGGTAGCCGGCTGCTGAAACATGGGGTATGGGTTCTGTGGGAAGAATCCAAATGGTGCAGCGTAGCCAGGCTGGCCCTGTGCATAAGTCGGCGGGGTAGGGCCTGCGTCTCGGCCGTAGCGAGGATTGTAACCTCCGCCGAATCCGATTGTAGCCATATCTAGTACCTATTCACAGCAACAAGAATAGACCCTGAAGTTCCTTCAAAGGAGAACCAGGAGAACCTAAAGAACCTGGAGCTCAGTATCTGTGGATCGAGTTCTGGTGTTGGTGAGAGTTGTGCCAGTGTCGGCTTGAATGTCGTGACGCAGGGTTTGTATGAAATGGGAGAGAAGCTGTCCAGTGACTGTTATGAGGATAGAATGATGGTGCAGAAGCCTGGTAAGCTGGATTCAAAGGAGACAAAGAGTGATTTGTCGAATGACGATCGCCAAGGCTAGAAGTCCTGTTGTGATGAATACCTGAACGAACGCCTGCATGCTCTGAGCGGTTGATATTAGGGTTCAGATTGCTCCCACGCGCGCTCAACCTTGAAGTGCTCCCTTGAACTGTTGAAAAGTTAGAAGAAAATACCGCGAAGGGCATGGAGAAGGCAGTGAAACGTTGGCTTTATACGTTCTGGCGTGGATGGGTGTCATAGCCATTGTTGATTCATAGCTAATAATAAGAGGAAGAGTGAAGAGAAGTAAAGTGAAATGAAGAGCTAAGGTGAGTAGACAACTCACAGTCACTAGCAAACCTTGAAAGTGTTGGACCTTGGACGAACTCTCGGGTCTCTCTGCTCGCGTCCTGTGCTAGGAAGATCTCTGTGTGCCAGAGCTCGTTCCCTTCGCAATCGTAGAAGCCAGCTACAATGAGCCAAGCCCAGAATCGAGGACGATGCGACACGTAAAGATGCTGGCCAATGACAAGCTTGGTTGCAGGGTATGGGAAGCGATGGGTTCTCCTATCCAATGACGCCAGTTTGCCAGATCGAGGCACACGCCTCAAGACTTGGATGGATTCACAAAGTTGAAATGGTGGCTTTCTGTTAGTTTTCTATTAGTCTACCTGGTGTTCGAACCATCGAGTAAATTGAGGGACATAAGCAACGGCCGTGCCTGTCGAGGATGACTTACCACTATAATATTGAGAACGTAACGATCTGATTACGATGTCTCCGTTTCCGTCAGAAAGGAGATGCTGACTTTCAAATGTTGAAGAAATCAAGAGGATTGAATGTGAAAGGGTTAATGCCTTCGATGTCAACGATCCCAAGCACGCCTCAGGGAGACGAGAAAGAAAGGAAGCTGGTAGTAAAAGTAGAGCCCAGAGTGATGAGGACAGTTACGCTGGACGTCATGTGCCATGCACACCACGAACAAAGCTTGGGACGTATCTGCCAATCTCGTGAAGCGCCATAGTAACACAGACTCAAATGACCAGATAGTCACTTTGCAAAGAAGAACGTGAGTAAGTGTCGTGAAGTGATTCGAGATTGGAGGCAGTTGAGATGACCACAAGTGGGGAGTTTGAAATCTTGAAGTGTGTTCTATGAAACTTGTGATTACTTGAACACTCCATCGCGTCTTCCCGAGTGAGGCAGTGACTCAACAGCAGCCAATCCATAAAGTGAAATGTCGGATCAATTGACTGATAGTGATGAGTGGCACACAACGACGCCAAAGGGCAATAGTCAGTGGCGAGCTTGGAAAATGCAGCTACTGTGAGGAACAAAGCATGGGGGTGTCATTGGGGTACCCGCAACCATGAAAGCCAACGTTGATCGAGGCCATCCATCAGATGTGCCACAAATGTCCCCATAAGTCCTAAGGCAGAATATGTTCCACGTTAGCATCTTCTCTGGATCTGGTGACATTTTCCTCGGTCAACCTAGACTCCACTCTGGGACCATTGACTGGTCCGGCTGTTATGTATCATCAGTTCGTGATACGTTGTTTCCGGTAGTGCGATTTGTAGTTGAAATGCTTCTGGAAGCCTCAGGCGAGACCGGCCCGCTTCAGAAGGGAAGATACCCTTAGTGGCCATTCTGGTGTGGCCTTCCGGATGATGTCCTCTAGCCGGAACGTATGATGCTAGCTCAGGGGTCTTGGGTAAGATTCCTGACCCAGCCACTCCTAGAAGTCTCATTTCGCCTGAGGATCTGATGTACGAGTAAGAATATCGTGGCTCCGTGCCGCAGGTCCTTGTTAACGTCCACATTGTATTTGCGATTTGTTAGCTGATGCCCAAAAGAACTCTCAGTCATTGACGTCGATCTCCCGCTCGACCAGCCGCAGTCCTGCCTTCCTAGCCTCCTCGACTTGGCGAGTGGCCTGCCTCTTCCGCTCGGCATCAGCCACCAGACCCTTCAGGTAGACCTCCGCCTGAACGGTAGCACTATACGCAATGGCAGTCCAGCTCCAGATGTTCCGCCGCTCGGCATCGGCCCCGGCAGCAAGCAGCGTGCGCAGAACAAGCAGGTTGCCATTGCTGCTTGCAAAGTGCAGGGCCGTATTCCCCTCGAGATCCGCTCGGTGTACCGCCTCTTGTGCCCCGCCGGGGACGTACGTCAACAGGATCTGCAGCACGGTGTCGTGGCCGCCGCGGCTCGCCTCCATGATGGCATCTCGGCCGTTGACGTCGCGGCGGAGGATGGAGGCGGGGTCGCTCTCGCTGAGGAAGTGGACGATCTCGGTGTGGCCGGCGGCGGCGGCGAGCATGAGGGCCGTCTGGTGGTTCTCGTTGAGGGCGGGGCTCTCGGCTTCGTGGCCGAGGGAGACGAGCAGTCTGCAGATCTGGAGGTGGCCCAGCGAGGCGGCAAGGTGGAGGTTGGAGTTGGAGAGGCCTTCGGGGGAGGCGTCCGGGTTGAGCAGGAGAGTCGGATGGGATTTGAGGATGCGCTGGACCAGCAGCGCGTCGTTGGCGTGGATGGCGCGTCGGAGCCGGAGGGAAGGGTCGATCCTAAGCAGGACGATGGGGGTCAGCGGATTGATGCTCACGGTCCATCCATCGTTCATAGGAGACACACATGTTTGCTCACTCCGTGAAGGTGAAGCCCTCACCACCAGCCACAAGCAAGCAAGCAAGCAAACGAGTTCCAAGGGTGAGGCTGGCTGGCTGGCTGGAGAGTGTGTGACTGAAGCCGGATCAGCAGAGGAGCCAGATGAGGCTGACCCGTGTCTCTTTCTCTCTTTCTCCCCGATTTCAGGTTAATGTTGGGAGCTTGTACAGCACAATGGCGTATGAGGTCGTCTTGCCAGACTGCCAGTCCACTGTAATCTTGTCGATCTGTTTATTGACACACGCTGACGTCGTTGGTTCATCTATCTCAGACTGCCCCATTCGGTCCATCTGGCCCATCTGGTATCAGCTGGCAGGCACAATCGAGGCGGGGCTGGTGATTGGATGTTGCAAACGACGGCTGGATTCCCTAACGATACGATGGCGGGGTATCTATGGCCTGCCGTCACTAACGGCCCCTGTCGGTTAGCGGCAGAGGCCGCCGGAGTCCACTAACCGCCCGCCAAGATGCATCGCCCCCTCGCCCTTATCCGCCGATCAGTTTGTTCACAGTCCAGCCATCCATCAAGACCCGTGCCTTGGACTGACTGGCAATTGACAGTTGCGAGTCCGAGTCCTCCTCGGCTTTCTTAGAGATCAATGATTGCCGCATAGCCAAATATTACTGCCTGCCAAGTATATGAAGGGCAGTGCTCTCCTTGGTTGATCAGGCTGGACAGGCTGAGAAGGAAACACAGTAACTCTGAGTAGCTAAGACACAGGCTTGTCATCGTGGGTCACTGTTTACTCGAGTGTCTGCATGCTGAGCCAAGTCTACGCCCAACGAGCATGATGATATCCTCGGCCAGCATTGCATTGCATCTCGAAAGGCAAACTTGAAGAGAGTACATTCGGCATTCAGTCAGGTTGAGGTATCACATTTCGGTTCATTGTAGCCTTGACGACTGATGTCTCTTAGTGTATGAAGCATGAGGACCAACGGCGCAATGATTGACCAGGCCCAACTCTTGATTCTTCCTGTTTCTGTCTCCTTCAGTATGATCAATTCGGAACTGAGGGTGCCTTGGCGTCCAGAGATGATCAACTTGCCCCTATCGGTCCAATCTCAGCACCCCAAGTGGTTGGCGCGCATGGGTGCATCTTGCATACAATAGTCGGCCTCTTGCGTGGGCGCTAAGCAAATCTGCCTCTCGAGACTCAGGACTGCGCCCAACTCTAACTCAGTCAGGCCAGGTCAGGCTGGCTCAGGCTGTGTGTGTGTGTGTGTGACGAACGATGATCTGATTGATATACAGAGTCTCGAGACTTGAATTGATAAACCAAAGGGAAAGACTGTAAAGGTTTCTCTGTCAACCATTAATCACTCTTGAACTGGTGACTGAAGTGAACAATTACATGTTGAAACCGTAACACATATATTGTTAATCTCAAACACCGTAGGTCTCCCTGATCAGAACGCTATCGATCTTCACACTCACCCCTTTGGTATTAGGAGGACATCACAGTACAATCCTCTCGGCATGGCGGCCGTCGGCTACAACCCCGTGCCAGCAGTCATCTTTCAAGCGGCGATCGCCCTGCCAAACTTCAACCTCCCTCCTCAACTCCCGCCTCCACCGCCTCCTCACCACGGGCCAGCCTGTCACTCGTGCGGCAACCCATCACAACTCTACTCCGTCAACGCCTCCAACCCCAACGGCAACGCGGGAAGACAGTATTACGCATGCGGCACATGTCAGTTTGGACGAGGCTGGGTGTCATGGGCCGACGCCCGCGGGCTGCACGACACAAATCCCCCGTGCCACTGCCAGCGCCCGAGCCGGAAGGACATGACGGGCGTCTACTCGGCCCGCCCGAACGTGCAGTTCTGGACATGCGCGACGGGCCACTGCACATACTACTCTGAAGTTGATTAGAAGGAAGCATTAGATACCCAAACCGAACAATAGACTTAATCATCTATACCGTTCACGCTTGATTACAAGTCGAAAAGACGATCAACAGACGAGTGCGAGCGGCCAATCAACTTATACGCCGGCTCAGGGAGCGGGCAGGGGACAGGGACGGTCTTTTCACGATCGGCGTCGCCGAAGTCCCACTGCCCAGATACAGAGAGCTGTATTTGCAAGGGTTTCGGTCTCACATCAGCACTGTAATCCGAACTGGGGATCTTTGGCTCTTGAAAAAGAGTATTTTGATATGGATATGGGTGATGTAAGCCCCAGCCAGATCTGTCTTTTGTCGTAGAAATGCCAAGTCTCAGCTGCCTTCCGCCGTCGCCCGAAAGCCCGTAGATTGAGCGGGCGGGCGGCGGAAATTGCTAGGGCTTAGCGACAGTGTAGGAGCCCATGTATTTGTTAATGCATGCGACACAGCTGTTTTCATCTTGCTGTCCTTCAACAATTAGCGGTACACGGCTGCTCATCTGTGTCATCCTCCAACATGTACAACCTCCGCCGGGCTGCGGGTCATGCTGATCCGTATATCCTTGAACATTTGAGTTGCTCTATTTTAGGTATTGTAAATATCAAATTGTGAATTACCGGGTCTTGTTCCATTATTTCTTAAGTATGGCGTTCCCTCTTGCCAAACTGCTCTCAGGTGGATGTCGCAGCAACAATCTAAATGGCGTCCCCTAGGAGAAAGGTCCTCTTTCTGACCAACAGCGACTATGGCCAGGCCAACGTCGTTCTGGCCACGGCACATGCCATGATGCACATCGCTCCAGACACAGAAATTCACATTGCATCGTTTGCCGGGCTGGAAATTGGCGTTCGCCATACATCCGAGTTCGCATTGCGCACCGCCCGTACCGCAAGCCCGCTAATCTTCCATTTGATCAACGGCATCAGCAATTGGAGCGCCCAAGAACGACCTGAGGTCGGTGTCATGGAGTCATTTGCCCGAGGCCCAGGGTTCATCAACTCGTCGAAGGGCATACTGATGATTCCGGCAATTATGCAGCCGTGGACGCCGGAGGAGTTTGTCGGCCTGTATCATGAAGCGAAGCGTGTCTACGACGAAGTACAGCCGGATATCACTGTAGTCGAGCCCCTTTTTACTCCTGGGATGACATTGTGTCATTACATTGACACAAATTGGATCGTCTTGGCACCGAATACCATCAAAGACTTTGCTGTACCACTTCAGCCGTGGCTGGCCATGATGTGGAAATACCCGCTGTGAGTTTCCCGTAATGATTATGTCTTGACTTCGAGGGACTAACAACTCGACCAGTATCTTTTCGGCCTTCCCATTCCCCTTACCATGGCATCTCATCCCAAGCAACATCGTCTTCAACTTGGTCGCAGGCTATGCGCTTGTCACCGACACAAGGATAAAGAACACAGTATCCTACATGCGACAGCACATCGCGCCTTCGATCAACCTCATGACCGCGAATGAGCTAGGTGTTCTGAAAGCGCCACCCCCAGGGCTCCGTATTCTTGTTTCCAATGCACGAGACCTCGACTATCCGTTCGACGTACTCCCGGAGCACGTCATCCCTTGCGGTCCAATAGTACGCGCAGCTCCAGCCGTTGCCGACGTCGATAGTGAGCTTGCAGCATGGCTTGCGCGAGGTCCCACGGTCTACGTCAACCTTGGAACGCATTTGCAGATGGATGTAAACCAGGCATTGGAGATGGCCTTGGCTTTCCGCGATCTCCTGGACAAGGCACAAGACGTGGACTACGGAGGTAAGGGAGGTGCGAAATTGCAGATTCTCTGGAAGCTACGCCGCAAGACTCCCCATGGCGAGCATGCATCGGACCCCAATGATTACTCGGGCCTATGGAAGCTGGTGCAGGATGCACTGCGCTCAGAATTTGAGTCAGATCGCGTGAGGATAACGAGCTGGATAACGGCGGAACCGAAATCAATCCTTGAATCAGGGCGTGTCATTTGTTCCGTGAATCATGGCGGAGCTAGCTCATTCAATGAGTCGATATGGTGAGTCAAATCGTTCTTGTTCGAGCAGAACACCGCTTACATACATCTGCCATAGTGCTGGTATCCCTCAGGTGTTGTTACCCGCGTGGTCCGACTGCTTCGACTATGGCAACCGCGTCGAGCTTCTCAAGGTCGGTCGGTGGGCCAACAAGGTAGCCAAGCCTTCATGGAAGCGAAATGAGCTAGCAAGTGCTTTAGAAGAGGTGATTCTTAGTGATAAGACGGCAGCTATCCTGGAGCAAGTGAAGAGACTGTCAAAAAATTATCCCGAAGGTGCTGGTCGCAATTATGCGGCAAAGGAGATCCTCTCCGCCATCCAGTCGTAAGGCTCTCGCCGTGAAAAACACACACGAGTGAGGATAGTAGGTATGAAGGTGATTTCTTTTCAAGTAGAGAGGAGAAGTCACAACTTATAAAGTTCATAGGATAGATTTTATGGTCGTAAATTCGTAAAGCTTAGACTAATCTGGAACCGAATGAAATAATACCACGAAACTACACAATAAAAGTCTCAACAATTTGACCGCGTGTATCTTGACTTAGCCTTGCATGCTGTTGGGCTGTCCAAATGTCTCTTCAAATGATCATCCCTACTAAATGTTTTTGAACACCGGCTGCAAACTTTCCTAGACATGTTCAGCTTCATGTCCTTCGCCTCTCGCTTGTGATGTATGACATAATGTCTTTTCAGATCACGCCAATACTGATATCCTTTGAAACACTTCTTGCAGATTTCTGGCTTGGTCTCAAGACGCAATTGCCTTCTGTGAAGATGTTATATTTGGACTTCTGGGCTTTAAGAACACATATGGACTCACGCGGGCTTTCGGAGAGGCTCATTGGCCTTGCCGACTCTTGTTGGCATTGATGGACTAATCAAGTCGTCCGAATCAGGTGGCACAGCACTTTGAGGCGACCTCATCTGAGATACGGATGACATGGCTTGAGAAGATCCAGAAGACGACAGGGCGTCTAACTGCTGAGGACAGATACAAGCTGGAGCTGCTTCTTGAGATGAGGACCGGTTGTCCCAGTATGATGATGTGGCTGGAGAGTGCTGTTCTGAGGACCGTGACATTTGCTCGCTGTCGATAGAAATGCCTCTCATGAAAGCATTGTCATCCCAGATATGCGGTACTGAATCTGGATCTGATATTGTGCCAATATCCATCTCACTTGAATCTCTGATGGTGTCAAAGTCTCCAGTATTCGCGTACGTGTCATCCGAGTCTGGTCCTTGTAGCTCTGCAACCCAATATGGTGTTTCAGCCGTGAGCGTACCTATTCCAAATAAGGCATCTTGACACTCGACTTGCCCATTTTCTAAATAGTCACCGGAGTCTTCCCAGCTAAACTCAAAAGCTCCATTGCCTTGAGATTCCTCCATGGCCAATTACTATCGATAGCAGTTACGAACCCACCCCGAGAAGGTAGGTATTGAAGTTTGGGGATTTTAAATATGATGGCTTTTAGCTTCTAGAGTTGTATTTATGTGTGTTTGCTTGTTGAGATTGTTGAGTAATGCTACCCGATGTTTTCGGCAGTAGCAATAGGACACCTTTTAGCGACGTTATCCGGGTCCATCAATCTACTGTAGAAGGTCTTTTAGTATGGGTTCAAATTGATCTTTGAGGCACTTACTGTTCGTGGTTGAATATTGGTGTCTTTATCTGCCATACCCGCATCGTGCTTCGCAATTGATTCGCAATTGACACGCAACGGCGCTTAAGGGGCTGTGGGTCTTCGCCTGTTCCAGTGAATACTCGTGGTCGCGCTCGTAACTCAAATGGCAAACCGCAGCCAAAGCAGATTGCAAAGGCAACAACCACTTGAGGAATAAGACGTGATCTTCGAGAAACACCGTCGCTGGACTTATTAGACACCACAAGACACTCAAATGCCGCCATGTTGACGTAAGTCCAATGTCTGGTGTGATCTCTCATTAGTAAAGAACCGTAACGAATGTTCACTTGTGTTTCTCGGTAACATACGGGTATGATGGGACGGGCGCAAGCGTAGACGGAACAAAGGGAATGAGGTAAGGAGCGGAACCCCACGGACGCCCATTCTTGTCTTGCCCGCTTCGATCAGCCTTATTGATTGCAAATTGTTGTTGATTGACGGAGTTTGCTGAGCAAGTACACTGAGGCCAATCGAAGCGGGCAAGACAAGAATAGACGTTGTGAGAATTGAGTTGTGAAGATGTGGTGGAAAGATGTGTGAGTCAAATGAATTAGCAACGGATTGGGGGTAACCCCAATTTATGGCTTTTGACTTGAAATGAACGCACACATCTGTTAAGTACCTTCTACTTCGGCTTGCAAGTATTCTCCTACAAGCCAGATTGTATATGTGCCCAAGCTTCAAATACGCACTCCATTGGTAGAAATGGGGGCCTATGCATTTGTAGGCCCCCCATCAGGCAGTCAGGCACTATTGAGCTCACGCTTTGTTTTGTTCTTGTAAGCTATAAAGACTCTACCTCATCTTGGGAAAAACCATATGTAGCTGCTCCTGACATTTATTGAAACTCAAGCAATTCTTGAATATCATCATGTCTTCCAAATCAAGAACCCCAGAGTTTCAGCATTTCATTCCGCAATTCATCTTGAAAAATTATGCGCACCCTTACAAGCGTAAGAAATCTGCACTAAATGCACCGGATTCGCCAATCCGGAATCGTCGCAAAGGGAAGTTTAAAAGAGATCCAGTAGTATACAGTATAGATCTCACCACTTCCCAAAGCTATAAAGTCGAGGCCCCTGTCAAGAGAATTTGCGGGCAGCACGACATGTACGAAAACACCATGAAGCCTTCGAAACGCGATCATCGCCGTATTGAAGCTATGTTCAATAAAATGGAGTCACAAGCAAGTGCCATCTTTCGAAAGATTATCAATGATTTCGAGAACGGCAACGACGGCATCTTGCTGACAAGAAATGAGACATATCTGGTCAGGAAATTTCTATTCTTATTGAATTATCGTGGGGAGACATTCCATAAGCGCTTCTGCCACGCTGAAGCTAGTAGTTATCAGGAGGACGACCGGGACCTAGTGCATGATTACATGCGAGAGCGTGGCCTGAAAAGCCCGATGGACCTTTGGTTCCATAATCTCGAGACGATCATGGAGCTAGACATGGATACGACAGGAAATTGGGAGCTGGATATCCACAGAAAGATGCTTCCTATAGACGCAATGTCGTTCCTGTGCCATTTTCAGCAAATGTATATGGCCATTTGCACTCCCGCAGAGTCCGGAGATAGTTTCGTTCTTCCCGACAATGCTTACAACATCTTCGAAGGCCCTAATAACTTTGTTCGAGACGGAAAAACAGGCACGATGCACGATGCTGATTATGTCACGTTTCACGAATTTGCTCCAGTTTCCCCGAAATTGATGATCATTCTGCGAAGCAAACTTCTTCCCATTCCAGAAGAAGACGCCAACCCTAAAACCAAGGCCTGGAGGGAATCGGCCTGGTCTAGAGTTGTTGATGACGTTTTTGGACCTGGTACCAACTCGGTTCTCGGGGATCTCCCCATAACGATAGCAAAAAACAACTACAGCGTTGTGGAAAACGGCCGAGTGCAATCCCTTGGCGCGCACGAACGTCCAAGGCGAGAAGATCACATTTTCTATTTTAGCTTCTTCCATTTATCACCCGAGCACATCGCGAAAGTAAACGAAATCCTACTTGATAGTTCATATATTTGTTCAAGAATCGTATTCGGAACTAAGGAGGATCTTTTAAGATCACTTGAGCAATATCTCACGGAACCATCGATTTATAGCAAGATACTCATGGGTCCTTATGTTGTCATATGGCGGAAGCATCTGCAGCGCTTACAAGTTCTCCTCAAATCTTTGGGTTCGGAGAAGAAGGCCTCTTGGAGCGAAAGAGTACCTCGAACTATTCCCGACTTTGAGGAGTTCCGAATGAAGAACATTTCATACCATCGATGTATGAGAGATATTGTGAACTCTGATGGACCATCTGAATTCAGTGCGAATCTTCTACGGCTATTCATTTATCAGTTCACATATCATGCCTGCAAGTCTTAATGCAATCAGGGCAGGGCGTTCTAGGAGATACAGATGACTGCCGATAACAAAAGCTCTGGCTCTCTACTTTAAATCAATTGACTTGGCTGTAAACGGATGGCAAGTCTCGTTAAAAAATGAGATTGAAACGTCCTGCAAAGCCCTTACCCAACGTTATGCGGAAGATCGGCCCTCGCATCGATTGTTTGAATACTGCCTCTCGTTGTGTTTTGCGTGGCTACAACCAAGTGAAGTACGATGCACTCTAGTTATCAATGGCTATAAATTATTAAGAACAAAGCATAGGTACAGTATGGTGACAAGCCTAAGAAGGAATGTAGCTGGGGAAAGAAAGCATGAACAAAAGCCAAAAAGTTCGATAGCAGTAGGGTTCGAACCTACGCGGCCGAAGCCATAGGATATCATTGTAAAATAATTCAAGTCCTACCCATTAACCACTCTGGCATGCTACCATGATTTTCCAAGAAAGCGCTAAATTAATCCTATCACTACTCAGCAATCTGCTAGATACTAGGTCATTTGTGTGCTAAGTCAATCTAGTAAACGCCTAAAATTAGATCAAAAACCGATACATGTTATTTTAGCATTACATTAAGGGCTGGTGAACACAACTTGCTCTCAGCTGGAATATAGAATTATCGCGACGTAGGAGTCAGTAGAAAAGTCAAATACGTCGAAGTAAGGAAGGCGAGAGCTGCTCGGTACAGACATGTGAAGAGTGTGCCGTGACTTATGGGTGTTTTTAGTCCTAGTGGGGTACTTAGGTACCTACAGTAGGGCTCCAGAACAGTTGCCTCAAACAAGGGTAGATAAGATTGGAGAAGTTCAAGACCGTTTTCACTTTCACTTGTCCGTCTCCACGCTTTGGGATTTCGAGCGTATGGCGCATTCTTGCATCACCATGTTTCCAAGGCCAGAAGTAGCTTTAGATTTAGATTTGAAATATTGCAACATCATTGCGCATGAGCGGCGCTACGTAGAGCAGCATGAGACTTCTTAGCCGCCAAGGCTGTATTAGTCTTCCTCTCCTCCAAATCACGTTGGACCAGCCACACAAAGTCGATCAAATGGCCAGTCTACTGTACTTCCACTCATAGTTCCATTCTTCCTTGCTGTCTATGATCAATTCAAAGTGAATGTGCCACTCGCACGGGTTGGACGTATCAAATGTAACGGCAGCAAACTTGGAATTGCCCTTGCAGTGATTGTACACAGCGATGTCCGTGTCCTCGATTTGCTTGTGGTACCGTGAGAAAGGTTCGTAGAATTGATTTAGAGCCGATGTCGAGAATTCGATGCTTTGACCAAAAATCTACCCCGCGAACAGTAGGCTTATCATAAACCAGGTACATGTATACATCGTTATCAGTGCAATCGGGTGCTGGGCCTCTTGCCTTCAGAACAAGCTACTATTGGCTCTAGGGAGGATGCCAATTGCATGAAACCGCAATTAAATCCCCTGAAAATGCTACCTTAACACTTTCACGACCGGCTCTGTTATAGCAAACAAAACAGGTTTTCCACGACCAAGTCAGCTAGGACGAAATGGATTTCCTTCCCACCACCGTCCACACCGACCCTCTCAAGCACGACATCCTGCGAGGGTGCGTGTTTTCTAGTCGCCGTGATAGCTGAAAGAGATGCGACCTCTGTCAATCATCATTCCGGTGCTAGCGTACTCATCGTGCGGGTTAGCATGGAGCCTTGACAGTTGGCTACAGGGCGAAGACCCGAAGCCCAACATGCCTCGAATTGTCCTCCCTCGAAATGGCACAGCCCCAACCTTTCGCGGAAACGGGTCATACCCGCACGGCAACGCGACGGGGACTGGCACGCGACCGCTGACGACTGCTACGAGCACACCGTCGCGGGTACTCGACACGACCTGCGGGGAGACCGCGACTCCCTTCGCTGTGCAAATCAAGCAGGACGGCTCCGTGTTCGATGGCTGGTATCTCAAGACAAGCGGCAACATGATCCTGTTTACATCCGAGCAGGAGCGCGCCAGTAGCTTCAGTGTCGAGGGCAGCGGGCATTTGTGCGCCGTGGGTAGCTTAGGCGATCAAGGATACCCAGAAATCGCCGCCGTCGAGGCTCGCGAGGAATTGACGGCCAGCGCTATATACCTTCTGGATGGGAAGATTGTGCAGAATCTCGAGCCCGAATACCAGCCTGCAGTGTGCTCGGTAGATTCGGGTCAGCTGACTTGCCAGCAAGACACGTGGAAGACACTACTCGGGTGTGGCCTACAATTGGATCTTGGTGCTGGACCAGGAGCAGTGGGTGGGCAAAATTGCACTGGTATCACCTTGTCGACTATCTACGCTTGACAATTGGGGCCCAGCACTACTTTGCTTGCGCACAGGAACACGACGCCTGGAAGATATGGAAGCCTGTTGCGGGCTGGACATCGCCATCATTGTGGACAGCGGTGCCGTGTCCAATAGTTGTTAGAAACTCAATCCACAGTGAGGAGCTAATGATATGTGATACACTATTGTCGAGTATAAACCGTCTATGCTCTCGTTCTATCGGAGAGATAGACGCTGCCTGTGCCTACGAAGTCGCGACTGTTCTTTATACTCAGTGGCTCCTCCAGAGGTCCCAGCAAGCAACCCTCTTCTGGAATCGGTGTTTCTCCTGCAGTATCACCGTACCAGTTCCAGAAGGTCTGTCCTTTGTAAGCCAGTCGCTGTATCTGTAACACGTCGTCCAAAAACCAGCTTTCTTGTCCCTTGGCCACCTTGGTCGACTTTGTGAGCTTGACAACGAGACCCACGATGGAGTCAAGGCAGACGCTAGTGAGAATTACCATGGCACCCCCTATCAAGACAAACAGCAGTCCAAACATAGAGACATTGTTGAAGTCTTGGCCAACTCGGACCCTTTGCGCGCGACACACTGACTTGGCGGCATCAACCTCCGGTGCCAGGACAAATTGTTGAGTTGATTGATCCGATGGTCCAATGACGTGCATTGTGAGGCGCTCTTGTAATGTAGAGAGGACGGCAGCATGCCAATTCTGCAGCTCGATCTGCCATTGGTTTGAGGGCAGAGAGAATTGAGAGCCTGCTGTGACGCGGCTTTGTGCAAGTAAGTTTGGGGGGCTGCTCGCCGCATTGATCGTCATCGTGACATCCCAGAAGGCGATAGCCTCAAAAAGGACCTGCACTATAGCATCCTGAATTGCATTCAGATTGAGGTTGGCAACCTCCGTATCTGTTGAAGCAAATATTCCCGTCACAGCACTACAGAGAGTCGAGCCGCCAGAGACTGCTGGGTTGCAAATTTGATACTACAATTAACCATTAGTCTTACTCATGATACGCTGCTGAGTACTCATTACCTGTTCAAGGCAGCCAAAAACACCGGCAGGGTTATCTCCCAGAAAGAATGTCTCGTTACTGAAAGACACACCAGGGTCTGGCGTGTGGGCAGCAAAAACTAGGTCGTCACAAGGCTGCGGAAACTGCAGAGCATTGCTAGAAAGAAAGAACAGTGTGCCATCTCCGTCTGACCGATTCAGCGCCGGAATGGGGTCAAAATCGTTCTGATAGGATGCATCAGACCAATATGCCATGGCTCTAATTATGTGTTAGGAAAGTTTAGATAAGGTTGTGTTCTCGGATTCACGTACGCTGTAGTGTATGCTGTTACAAGATCCAGTGTCTCCAGATTAATGGGCCAGGTATAGTTTGCGTTAAACAACCCCACGGTGGGACCATACTCATACAAGGCATAGTTCAACCCGGAATCATTATAAATGGTGACGAACCCATCTTGGACTAAGGGAGCACAGGTTGTCAACTTGCGCATTGTGATCTGATTTTCTGGTGCAAAGTTAAGACCTAGGACATGGTTTGAGTTGATTGGGCCAGTATCCATCGCCATTGCAGGTCCGATGCACATGCTCTCGTCAAAGGGACAAGCAGCCAGAAAGTCGGTCCTCCAGTTGATAGTAGGCACAGAAAACGTGTTGCAATCCTTCAGGGATGAGGCATTGTAGCATTGTCTCGCATATGCTTCACCAGCGATCAATCCTTCAGCTGCAAAGACATTACTGGCGGCGACGTTCTGGTTTGCCTGGCCTTCAGTAAATGGATTCTTAGTGTCCCACATGCCGCAGTTTGCTGAATTCAGAAGCACCTCGATATCAGATGTCGAGATGACAAACGAGGAGAAGATACCAGCTAGGATTCCAGCTGAGGCGCAGAGAAGCGCCGGGAGAATGATTGCTAGCGAGCTCCACAGCCATAGGGATATGGGACGTCGATTACGCCATGCCCAGGCGAGTTGGAAGATTCGAAGAGACGTGGCGAGAGGAGACGATGTGTTCCTTAAGACAACTTGTTGCTGCCTGACGATACCATAGCAATCCTAGTTACTGTTAGATTGGTCAATATTATTTCGAAAGTTTCCACCGTACCTCATCTGTGTCTCTCACGCGGTGAATGATATATGATGCCAGGTGCCAAATATGATTTGCGGCGAGTTGCACAAATATCGCGAGAACAGCCGTGAGAATCGCTCCCATGCCTGATGGAATGGTAATAGTTGCCCCAAATACAGATCCCTTAGCCCAATTTGTCCACAAACCCGTAAAGATATCATTTGAAGTAATTGCCATATCAGCGAAACCAATCAACGAGACCTGGCAGTGTGTGTCCAAGTGATCCACTCAAGTGGACAAAGGCATGGTTCTTTATACACTCCAACATAATCATTGTGGTGGCTGTGGATTTGTCTTTCCTTCTCTATGGAAAAGTTGTATTCACCATGTTATCGCACAGCCCAGCAAACTCGGTTGCCAGTATTGTATGTCCCATGAACTGTGCCGCACTTGTACTGAAATGAGACGCCAACTTGGTGGACGAAGCCACAGTGCTGGGCGTTTGATCTCCATGTTAGCCGCACTTTCTTTGTTAGTAACAGCATCCTTCAAGCGACTTGGCCAATCAGCGAGACACAATCAGTGCTCTCTAATCGTGGGGTTTGACTGATGCTATTAGTTCTTTGATCACGCCACAGACGTCTGCGGCGCCAAGCTAAAAAGGACCAATCCTCCTGATATCAGGTGTTCATGCAACCGGGACATATTGGATGTTATCTATTCTCAGCCCTATGGCCCTGTCTTTGCATTGTCCTGCTCCCTGCGACAGGATTGCATCGTTTCAAGCATTTTCATCTTATTTCATCTGGCTTGCAAATCTTTCTGGCCCGCTTCACTTCCGAATTCCTTCTGAAAGTCTCATGTTGGTTGTTGCTTTGGTATCGAACATGAGGACAATCCTGTTCGTGATCCTTCGATATGCAACCCATCTCAGCTCCCGTCAAGGCAACATGTAAGCTGAACAGGTTGATAGCTACGAGCAATGTTCGCCGTCAATACAATGTTCTCGCTTGGTATCATTGTCACTTCAAGCATTTAGGCCGTGCGCATGGATTTCAAATATGATCTTTGTTAAGACCCCCTCAATAGGCCCGAACTCTAATGCTGGATATCAATATCTCTAATAAGTTGACAGCCTCGGTCCCATCGACTTGATTGTAAGCCGCCAACATAGCTGTTCGTTCTTCTGTCTCTATAAATGTCTATGTCTAGTCATGTCTAGGTCTAGTGTCGTGAGATGCATGCGGTCTATGTCTAAATATATACATGGACTTATTCAGCCCATTTCAAAGCACCAGGAACTTTAGGGTTGCTTTCAACAAATTTGCACTCGTTGAAGGTGGTCCAAAGTTGTCCCATAAAGGATCGGTCGTCTCGGTGGTAGAGATCTCCAAGAAGGGTCTTGATAGCCTCAGTTGCCTCATCGGCGTAGTAGAATGGGATGCGCCTGATGTTGTTAGTTACAGGTCTGCAATCCTCGGACTTTGGAGAAGACTCACGGGAAAAGATGGTGGACAACGTGGGTATCGATGATACCATGGAACATGTGGCGGCCAATGAACCCGAAATCACGGTCAACTGTAGCAAGAGCACCCTTGACAAAGGTCCAGGAATCAGCCTCATAGTGAGGCAACTCTGGATGAGTGTGATGCAAATAGGTAATAGCGACTATCATGATTTATTAGTGATGTTCAATGGATGATGAGAATTGGGCGCATACCAAGCCAATGATGAACCCAAAAATAGGGAACTCCGTAAAGTAGGAATACCGTGCTTCCTCCCACAACCTTCGAAGCCATATACAGGGCTGCGATTGTAATGGCAAGGCCGATATCTGAGAGCACGATGTAGAGAGCCTCATTCGGTCGGAAGACTGCACTACCAGGGTCGAAGTGGCTGTTGCGGAACCAGCTGGATCCCTCGTATTGGCGACTAGCCTTACCAGCCGAGACATTGAAAAGGAGATATGCCTGCCACCCGCCAAGCTGATGCACTATCAAACGTAGAAGCTGGATAATCGGGGCGTCCTCAAAGTCCTCAAGCCATTCGGGGTTGAGGTAGAGAGTGCTGAAGCCTTTCTTGGGTGAGTTAGGTCGGGTCGCTGGCACAAAAGCCATGTCCTTTTCCATATGGCCAGTGTATCGGTGGTGGCGATGGTGCGAGAACTTCCAAGAGAAGTATGGGACTAGCAATGCCGAATGAAGAGCCCAGCCGACAATATCATTAAGGGTCTGGTGTGCTGAGAAGGCACCGTGACCAGCTTCATGGGCCAGAATCCAGATTCCAGTACCGACGCAGCCCTGGCAAAATCCGTAGACAATCCAGGCGATTGTGCGGTATAGAGTGCTGGGAATTTGTGGGATATAGGTCAGGGCAAGCCAACCTAGAGCGGCCGCCAGAGTAAGATCTCTAGCAACATACGACAATGAGCGCAATGTCGATGGCTCAAAGCAATGCGCCGGAATGGCATTTCTGATTGTGTTCACATCAGGGACAGAGGCCTCCGATTTCTTGTAAAACGTTAGCTCAGTTGCGCATATACATATATATGGCGGCGCATATTGTCATTACCTTCTGTTCGGGCTTTCGAGCCGTGACAGTCATAGTAGTTTGCGACATGGCGATTCCCCTGGTTCTTGAGAAGTTTTTTCACCCTCCAGAACTTGAAGACGAGACTCCCCAGGAACGAGCCCGCAACCGGCGGCAGCCCGCCATTTTATTCTCCCTCTCCCTCTCGAGCTAAGAAACGGGGTCGCGCCAAGCTAAGGGGGGGAAAAATAAGATACCAACAAAATTGATACCAACGTTCCACCAGCAGCAGGGGACTTGAAAACGTACCCGGCATCGGGCCCGTGCGGCTCAACATTCCCTCGCTCCTGACTGGTCCAGACTGCTGGCCGCGCCATAGTGGTGGAATTCAATGGCGAGTCAGGGTCCTTGCCGAGATTCAGCTTGCCAGATTTGGTTGAGGATCCTCTTTTAGCATGGTCTAGAAATTTTTCAAACATAGGGGTTTCGATCGGTTAGCCTGATCTTCCCAGCAAATATCCCGACGCGTCTTTCACATGCCAGATTGCAATTCAATGGCCTAAGCTGATCACCAAAGAGAAAGTGCATGTCATCTTCTCCATGTTTGCAATAAGGACTATGGTCGTCGCAGATTCTAAGTTCATAGAAAAGGCGCAATAAGATTGGCTGGTCATAGCACGTGCTCATGTGTTTCAGATTGAGAGTCAAACTACCTGTATCCGAGACCGAGGTTTTAGATGGACTCAATTTTTTCAGTTGGTAGCTTGCGCATTCCCGTTTCAATAACATGCCCAAGCAAGTGGCACAGTATCCGCCTTTCTTCATGGTCGCTCAAGCCTTGCTGTTGAATTGAAGTTCCACAAGGTTGAGACTCGGCCTAGGGAGACTGTTTAGACTTCTGATGTCAGCAGACTTAGATCTTCCCACTTCGATTTGCTCACATTGCCGGATCACAACGTCATACCTCGTCAATTGTTTATAATAGTGTGCTGCGCATGATTGAATTGATGATATTGACTACAACTGATAGGGTTATGGTGACATATTTGCTCTCATTGTTACCATACAGATCTAGATCTGCGAACCACCATCTACAACAAAAGTTAGAGGTATTAACCATCGCAGGATCTCCGAATATTTCTGAGGGCTTACCAATTACGACAAGAGTCCCATTCGCATAATCTGCCCTAACCGTGTACAAATATGCCTCAGCGATATCTGTAGGTGTTGCGACAAATCCGACGCTCAAGTCCTTTGAGCCTTTGTTGAATATCTCTTCCTGCTTTTCTTTGCTGTGACCCAACTTGTCCCAGAGCTCTGTCTTGACTAGGCCAGGTACAACAGTATTGACGCGAATTCTCTTGTCCGCAAGCTCATTCGCAAGACCTTTTGTTAGGCTTACAACACCTCCATTCAGTGCTCCCCCAATCGCCGCTCCCTTTCCGGGTTTGAATGCGGCACCGCCAGACGTGAGTGTCAAGGACCCTCCTGGAGAAATGATATCGTGCTTCGCAAGAGCTGCAGAGCACTGTCAGAACGCCGAAAAAACGACATGATACAGCCGGTTGCAGCTTGACCTACCTTTTCCCACGACGATACTCCCCCAAAACTTAACCCCAAATAAGTGTTTCGCTTCATCCAGATTCGCCTCAGCAAGTGGGCCGCGGATGATCTTGTCGACACCAGAGAATACAATATGGTCCAGGGGAGCAAGGGAAACTAAAAGCTGGGTGAAAGCCTCTTCATCTCGAACGTCGCCCACGCGGCCCTGAACTTTGGGATTGTTCAGGCGGCCAAGGGCCTTGTCGATGTTTTCTTGTGATGATGAAATAATAGTCACAATTGCTCCGACATCAGCCAATGCTTCTGCAGCGCCAAATCCTATTCTATCATGTGTTAGCACTTCTTCTCATTCGATGCATTGACTGCCATACCCGGAAGACCCGCCGACCACAGCAATTCTCTTGCCAACCAACTTCTCAGACAACTTGGCCATGTTTGCTACAATGAGAGTGGAACCAAATTATACCGAGAAGTCTGTCTTATTTCTATAGCACGGATGAAGACCAATGCTCTATGCCACCGGCTGGAAGCGAGTTGATATCGCACGATTTATAATCATGGCGGGGTTAGCGTCTTGGTTCCGCAACAGATCGCATCTTCCTTGCACAAAATCGCGCCTTGCTTGCGCATGCAACGCCAATCCTTCCCCATTAGTCAGCTCACCAACTCGCGTTGTGAATAATGTTAGCAGAAGAACGAAGATATTTCACGAGATAAAGACGAATGAGTTCGGCTGTACAGTGATGACATTGTCATTGTACCGTTGCAGCATAAGTCGTCAGTACAGCGGGACTGCTACTTTGGTTACTGCCTATAACTGCTCTACACTGGTGTAGTTCTGCCATGATCGCTTTCACCTTCCCATCATGCCCTAAATTTCTTGCTTGCCTCTGAAAAGCTCATACCCTTCTTGATCTCAACAGCCATTTGTGAGTCTGCCTCAACTTGCTTTGCCATCAGAGGCAAAGCCTGCTCGGCTAGGTTCTTGGGAAGTACGACAACACCATTCAAATCGCCGATGATATAGTCACCGGGATTGATCGTCATATCTTGCTCATCTGTCTGCAATTTGACGGGCACATTCACACCAACCACCTTGACTAGCTCGTATGGCGGAGCCGTCCCAACATCACGGGCGAATATCTAAACGTCATTAGCTATCAAGCAATAGGGCAAACTCAAGCTATCTTACAGGAAAATTGAGATCGCGCTGCTCCTGCAAATCTCTGAATCGACCGTCGATGACGGAGCCGACAGCTTTACTCGCCTGTGCCCTGGCAGACATGAGACCACCATAAACAGCATTCGGTGTCTTAGGCGGGCAAGAAACAAACACAACTGCGCCTTCCGGAACGGAATCGATCTATATGTTGTTCTAGTAAGCGATATATCATCAAGAAAGAAGCGCAAAGTATTCCTCACATAATGTGTTGGGTGCTTAGGAGTAGGGTCATCCAATGGCGCGTACTTGACGGTATATGCCGGTCCAACAATCTTGGTGTCACCTTCTTGTCGTTGTGGTGACCACAGCGTTAGGCCGGACAGAAAGCCCCCATTTCGGTATTTCAGCTTGCACAGGGCGTCAGAAACATCACAGCTGCGATCCGTCAATACTTCTACGTTGTTTATGGACGCGTCAGGGAACTCACGCAGTATACTCCTGTAGCGCCTTGACAATGGGATCTTGTGATGCCATCTTTGCTGTTAACGAGAAGAATTTGGCACGAATGCGGGGCTGCAGTGTTGTGAATGAATGACGTGCTCCTATAAACGAAGTTCTTGAGATCAATTGATGCCCGATATTGACTCTCCCTGCGATGATTGACATGATCTGGTCATGAAATGCTACTACTCTCATTACCTGGAAGCTAAGTTTCGCTTTGTCCATTCACACGTGAAGACCCAAGGCCCCGGGCAAAGTCGGCAACCGGCTGCATGTCCGAGCTTGAGTCGGCGCAAAGCCGCTATTGCGCAACCTCTCCAGCGTCTCGCGGGGCTCACCGCATACGATTGTTAGTGTCATTGGCGACGATGACGGCCTGACCCATTCAAATTTCACTAACAGCACCCGGCGCCATTTAACCGGCCAACTTCCGGGCGACTTTCCGGAAGGTCCACAGGTGTTTGAGAATTGGAAGCTTTTCGCTGCGAGAAGAAGACAAAACGATGGATCATGTAAACAACGATCGTGTCTAAAAAGGAGTGGTCGAGGCTTTGCTCTGAACTCGATTAAGTAAGTTAGCCAAGCTACAGAGAGAAGCGTCGACCCTTGAGCCTCTAGTGTATTCTTTGTTTACGAAACATGGCTGCAAACCCAGCAGTCTACGTTCTTGACCCCTATCATGAAGATGCTATTGCCCTACTCAAGGCTACCGACTGGATTGATCTAGTTCTGCCAAATGATCCACGCAAAGCGGATTGGCATCAACATGCCGTCGGTGTGATCCTCCGATCAGATACTCGCCTGACTGATGCCGACTTCAGGGCGGCAAGCCAGCTGCGTGTTGTGGTCAAGCAAGGCGTTGGCGTCGATAACATTGATCTCAAAGCCGCCAAGGCCGCTGGCGTTGCAGTGCACAACACACCGGCACTCAACAGTGAGTCGGTCGCGGAATTCTCTCTGGCATTGGCTCTATCGCTTAGCCGGCGTGTGACTGAGGTCGATCGCCGAGTGCGAAAAGGAGAGAAGATCGTGCGAAGTACGACCCTCGGCTTGAGCCTTTTCCAAAAGACTGTTGGGGTCATAGGGATGGGCAACATCGGAAAGATTGCTGCAAAGAAGTGGATTGGAGCATGCGATGCGAAGGTCATAGGGTACGATCCTGCTGCACCACAGGGTGTCTGGAATCAGGGGGAGATTCCTCATGTGAGAGTCAACACTGTGGATGAGCTCCTGAAGATATCAGATGTCATTACGCTTCACGTTCCCCTTCTAGACAGTACAAGAGGTATGATAGGTGCACGGGAGTTTGGCCTTATGAAGGACAAAGCGATTCTTATTAATGCTGCTCGGGGTGGTGTGGTCGATGAAAAGGCATTGCTACAAGAGCTACGGAAGAAGAGGCTATGGGGTGCCGTACTGGATGCTATGGAGGTCGAACCGCCGACGCTTGAAGCATACGGCGACTTTTTAGAGTTGGACAATGTCATCATGACACCGCATATTGGAGCATCTACAATAGAAAACCAGAGCAACAGTGGCTTGGCGGTGGTGAAGTCGCTATTGGCAGTCCTAGAAGGAAAGACTGACGTGCCCGGCAAATTGGTCTAAGATATGGCCCGCACAGCTCAAATAACTTCCAAGATAGAAATACACGTTGTTCGTTGGGAGTATTGATTTGTTTATGAATTTATGCTGACACCTATACGAATGTTGGCATGGATGAAAGATGTGTATAAATTTAGCATCCACGTGCCCAAGACATTTGCCTACCCTGCAGAGTCCCAGAGACGTCAACACGAATGACCAACCTCTTAACTGGTGATAAACATGCTAAGGCCCGGGGAACTTGCAGACATGCAAGCCACGCTGCATGTACCCGCTGCTTGACCGACATCCTGTACCAGGCCGTCCTCCCGGGCGGGTACCCCGGAAACTGCCCGCAATCCGGAATCTGCTTATCAACTCCACTTGATACGACTGCGGTACCGAGGTCGGCACGTAGAAGCTACTGTATATTGATCATTATTCGTAGTAATCCTGTGAGAGTGGACATCATCAGCTTGGATCGAAGGTAGACCGTACCAAGCCACAACCCAACACAATGGCTGCAAGTGTACTTGTCACGCCAAGCTCGGCCCATGGCTTCGTCAAGTCTATTCTAGAGAAATATGATGTACCTGCAGACCGGGCATCACTCATAGCAGACTCCCTCGTTCTTGCCGACCTTCGCGGGGTCGACACTCATGGTATAAATCGGCTTGGCGGCTATGTTGAGCGACTTAAGCATGGCGTTGTTGTACCAAATCCAGACTTGAAATTTGATGTTCGAACCCCTGTAATGGCATTACTTGACGCCAAAAACACTTTCGGATTTGTTGCCGCCGCCCTTGCCATTGATAAGGCATCAGAGATGGCAGCAACATACGGCATTGGAGTCGTGGCCGTGCGCCATAGTAATCATTATGGAATGGCTGCTACATATCTACTACGAGCTATCAAGAAGGGCTATGCAGCCATAGCTTTTACGAATGCTTCGCGAAGTATGCCTCCATGGGGTGCTAAGGAGCCGCTTTTGGGAACGAGTCCATTTGCTGTTGGAGTGCCAGGAGGGAAAGCCGGAGACTTCATTCTCGACATGTCACCAAGTGTAGCTGCCAGGGGTAAGATCAGGAAAGCAGCAAGGAGGGGTGAAAAGATCCCAGAGGGTTATGCATTAGATGCGGAAGGTCGACCGACAACTGACCCCGAGGCAGCTCTTGCGGGTGGGGTTGTGCTGCCTATTGGGGGACCAAAAGGTAGCGGATTGGCGATGATGATGGACATCTTTGGGGGCCTTATGTCTGGCGCCGCTTTTGCGGGCGGTGTGAATGATCAGTATAAAAATCTCGACGAACCTCAGAATGTCGGCCACTGGTTTCTGGTCTTTAGACCCGAAGTGTTTCTGGACAATGGAATGGACGAGCTAAAGAGCAGAATGGACACTCTAATTCAGAGAGTTAGAGATTGTGACAAAGCTGCTGGGGTGGAGCGGATATACACGAGTGGTGAGATCGAGGCGCAAATGCAAGGTCAAAGAGAAAGTGGTGGCATCCCTTATTCAAGGGGCGAGGTGGATGCTCTACATGCGCTCGCAAAACAAGCTTGCGTAGATGTAAAGCTAGACGAGATTGAGAGCAAGGAAGCGTAAAAGCCACTCAATTTATCACAAATCTACGAGAATAAAATTATCGAGTGTTGGAACCCATGGTATCTTTAATTACCTGCATGATATCGTGATGTGAATTCAAGGTCATCTCGCTATAGTCACTTCATTGTTTGCACAGATGAAAAGCAGGCCATCAAATTTGACTGAACATGAGTTTTCAATTCTTTCTACTCACGCAGCCAGACTCCACCTTTCATCCACGAAGTCTGACCTGCCAGAGAAAGGTTTTCTATCCTTGCTACCTAAACCCTGAGAAGGCAATATTTGTCTCAAGTAATGAACCTGAAATGCGGGCTCTTGTCTGCGAGTTCCGTCACATCTACTGGAGCACCTGGGATGGGCTTGCCAAATCTTTTGTCTCGGTGTCGGTTGACGGCTGCTAATATGAAACTATTGGCTAAAGACAGCAATGCTGTTGCAATTGCCAGCCCCATGCAAATGAAATGACCCTTGCGGAACTGAGGGCCATCCGTCGAGGGATAGAACCAAGTCCCAGCAATGGAGCCCAAGTTGCCGATAGCTGTGTACAAACCCATTCCAACGGCACGTTTCGTCTCGTTACCAAAATTGTTGGCAGCCCAGGCATGAGTTGGAGGATATGTGGCGTACACGCATGCCACCGCGATGCAGACGCAAGCATACTTTCCGCGTAACTGGGACTCTGGGAGCGTGGCGAGGAGCGCATAGGCGATGGTGCCAACACCCATGAGGACAGCTATATGAATGCCTCGCTCTTTTCTGCGATCAGAAGACCATGAAGCTAGGAACATGAGAGCGAATGCGCATGCGTATGGAGGAACAGTCATCAAGTTGGCCGTCGTAGCCTTCTTATAGCCGAGATCTTGAATACATCAATGATACGACCTAGAAGTCTATGAGCGGAAGAAACTCACTGCTGATGATTGTTGGCAGGAAACCAGAGATCGACGAGAGCAAGGCAGCTGTTGGCAAGTAGATTGCGGCCTGCAGGTACAGACGCCAGTCACTGAAAACCCACAGAAAGTGTTTCATCTGCATCTTCCCGGCCCTGTCAAATGCTTCACTATGGTAACGGGCCTCAGCAATTTCCTGGTTGATGCCTGAGAATCGGGAGTTCTTGAGTGGTCGATCGGGAAGCCAGTATAGCATAAAGAGTCCGAAGCAAAAACAGGGAAGAGCTTCGATAAGAAAAAGCCATTTCCATGCCGGGGTGTCGCTCGCGATGTGGCCAATCCCGAAAGCGATGAGACCACCAAAGGCACTGCAAGGAGGAGTATGTCATTAGTGGGAAAGCTGTGGTGAGTGCAAGTTCACATACCCAGCAATCGCAGTCGGACCAAGAAACCAAAAGACTCGCATGCCCATTTCAGTGCGATGGTACCATAATGACAAGTAGTATACAATGCCGGTTCCAAAGAGGCCCTCAAAGACCCCCAGGAATACTCGACATGCGAGCTCTCCAGAGAGGTTGAAGGTAACATTTTGGAGCAGGCTGGCAACAGACCATCCGCAAACCCCAAATGCAATCCACTGGTGAGGTTTTAGCGAGTGTATGCGCGATGATGCAAGTACACACATACTTTCGAGGGAGGAAATATTCGATAACCTATGCAGCCTGGGACTTGGCAGAGAACCAGGCCAACGTAAAAGATCATGACCACGAGCTGCCATTGCGATGACTTAAGGGTTTCGGTGCCTGAGCCAACGCCTCCATCGGATGTCTTGTGCCCCTTATCTAATCCGTACAGTTTCGCGTTCTAGGAGGAAGAGTCAACAAAAGGTCACCCATGTTGGTATGCTCGCTTTGGAAGACTGACCGCGACATTCCCTCGGTCTAAATACTCGAAAAAGTAGAGGATTGAGATCGCGGGAAGAATGATTGTGTCGAGCCTCCACAAATACCGTCGCTGGGCTTTGATCCATTCCGGATCATCCAGGTTGCGAACTTCTTTCTGGATCTCTTCAGGCGCGTAGTCATCGCCCTTTTCTATTTCATGTTGAGTACGAGCTTGCTCAACATGAGAGACATCGTCAGTGTTCCCCATAGTTGCTTCTAGTGGGGATGTGTTTCCCTTCATATATGGCAAAGGTGTGATCAATCGGCAAGAGAAGAGTAAGCGGAAACCCTCCCTTAAAGCCTCTCTAGTCTCACTCAGCGTCGTACTTTGTATTTGGTGGGGGTGCTGGGGATGATACGGCTGTCGATGATCAGCACTGTAAAGGTGAGCCAATCCCAGGGGACTTCATTTATACCCAATGTCTGCGGCCAATGTCCGCTTGAGTTGGTCCCTTTCAGTGCACCTAGATAGGACGCTCATTGCGTCTAAGTTTCTGGGCATGGGTGCATTGGTAGCCCTTTGCGTGCAGGGGTAGATAGGAGGACTCATTCAATGCCGGGCAACCGACATTGATTCTGGCATGTTTCTTGCGGGGGAACAGGGTGCGATCAGCACCTGTTCTCCGCGCATTCGGTGGCTAACCCCACACTGAAACTAAGAAGGAATGGAGACCTCAGGGTTCCAGCCCGGGCATTCTCCCGGCAAACTTCCGGGGTCAATCACCAGGAAACCGACAATTTGAATCTCCACGGAAATGAATCGCGGCGAGGATATTATTCCCGGGCGAATTCCACGGTTCGCGATCACGGGAATTGGGGAGCTGGAGGCTGCCGATTGTCAAGGCTAAACGTTCCGAAGGTCGGGCTGAATCCTGTAGCATCCGATGGCCCTATGGCGATCCTTTCGAGCCGTACAAGAGCACCGGCTTTTCGGGCCCGCACGTGAACCGTCAAACATATGAGATCTATCGTATTCCTTCTCCGTCGGCCATGTTCGTCAGATATTCTATCCAAGACAGTCTTCTTTGTGATATAGTATGGGTTCGGTCGCCGATATGGACACTTCCCTGCCTCCTGGGGCATGGGATAGTCACGTACACGTAGCCGATGAGGTTTGCGTGCACACACGATTGTCTTCCAAACCATCAGACTAATTCATGTACAGGACAAGTTTCCATTTCATCCCAACCATCCCTACCGGCCCAGAAAGGCAGATTTGGACGACCTGCTTGCTTTCCAGCGAAAACAAGGAATACCACACAGCTGCCTTGTTGCGTTTTCGGTATATTACACAGACAATTCGTCGATCCTGGATGGACTTCGACGACTAGGCGGCAAAGGTCGAGCTGTCGTCTGTATAGATCCAGAGTCAGTGACGGAAAAAGAATTGCAAGAGCTTCATGAAGCCGGAGCTAGGGCAATCCGTCTGAACCTGAGGACGAGGGGTCAGCGACTGGATAAACATGAATTTGAGAGGCTACTCACGGTGAATGCAAAGAGGATCAGTAAATATGGCTGGGCCATTCAATTATATGTGTCTCTCGACCAGATTCCCGAACTCGCCGATGTGATACCAACACTCGAAGT